AAGTAGAAGTCGGTCACTTGCACACATTAAGGGCGACGACACTTAGAAGATATGAACATAATATTTATTATAAACCTATTATTACGGAGAGTTTCAAATTTGAAGTTAAATAAACATTTTTTCAATAAGTTTTAGGGATACAAAATTTATAAGGTAATTTTTTTATGCTCGAGTTGGAAAATTAGTTTTAAATAGTGCAAAAAAAAATGGGTCTCATTAATTTGTAACTGTTAGTTTAAATGTTGAAATGAAATTAAAAAATAACAGAACACTAAAAAAAAAATACCCTAGCAGAAAATGTACCTAAGAATTTAAGTATAACTCTCAAAATGTGTATTTTGTACTTGAGTGTACTTAAAATTTATTTTTTACAACATTTTGGGATGACTGTTGTATTTATTTACTAACACACAAACAGAACCGCTGAGAAAGTAGGTATCGTTTAAGTAATTTTTTTTTTGTGCTGTCATCTCAATTTAAGTATAATGCTTGCAACGTCAGGACAATTGCATACCATTTTTAAAATTTTTTTTTTAGCTGTTAAGCTATATTTTTTTTCTAAAAAAAGGCGACGCCCTTTCTAAATAGAACTAGATTGAGTATTTTTAGAAGACATTTTTTAGCAGCTGCCACAAGTCGTTCGAGCATAAGTGTGTGGTCCGATCGGAGTTATAATAAATTAAAAAATAAATAATGATAATAATAGTCGTGGTATGACCCCAGGACAATTATTGGTATTAACTAGTCTATTACATACAATCGAGGCGCACAATCAGGAGGTCGTCGATTAATGATAATAATAATAATATGGCATCGCGCAATAATTATCCTAAAGACTAATTATTATTCGATTTTTTTTTCCGCATCTTATAAATATTTATCGATAACGGAAGCGACGGATAGGGACTTTGCTTCGGTTATGTTACACACAGAATAATAATAATAATATTATGATGATGATGATGATAACTACAACGGGAATAAGATTATATATTATTGTTAGTATTATTGTCTGCCTCGGTGTAGTAAAAACAAAAACAAAATGGGTTAAAAACCAACACCGCCTATAGGTACATCCCAATTAAAAAAATATATATCAATAAATGGGATTTGTACCTTTCACGGTTAACTTTAAACAATATTAATGTATATCAATTTGTCTGTTTTATAATATATGGCTGTGAATAAGTAAGTAATAAGTTATTATACATACAACCAATCAATCAAATAATTTAGGTATAGTTGACGTACTGAGTAGAATAATTTTCCGGATCTAAAAACTTAAAAGACTTAAGTATATAAAAAAGCAACCGCTAAATCGCGCCACTATCGCGCTACTTTCGTGACGCTATTTTGTGTCGTGTTAGAGCTGGGAGGCCAAGGCTAAAGCATTTGCCGTGCTTAAATAAATACATGTTCTAATATGTGTACAATTATACAAAAGTACACGAGGCATGGGTTTCTCAGTATTTTCAGCGTTGGGGTGGATACGATTGGGGTTGATCGATGGGGTGTGTTTTTTTTGGAAAATTTTGCCCGTTCAAGTATCTCTCAGGTACTGATTTATACATTGGCCACTTGAAGAAATCGGTTCTGCGGTGGATCCAAGATCATATTGTAAAAAACAACACCAAACACAGAAACGTGAATTGTCTTATTATAATATTGTCTTATACATTATATTCTGTCGGTGCACAACGACACGGTCGATTAAATTACATAATACTATTGGGTTGGCTATAAAAATTGATTGGACTAATTATTGAAATATTGCCGTCCAGTAAAAAATAAAATAACAAGCATATTAAAATAGATGTATTGCTATTAAATCTGTTCGGTTAGGTTAGGTTAAGTCGACGACATAAACGTTACAATCGACGGACGATTATGATAATAATATTATTATTAATATATTATAATTTGCTCTGTTCTACTTTGTCCAATGGTTATGTATACTTTGTAACAGCGACGTTAATGTATAATAATTATTAGTGTACAATATCTAATAACTAATATCGTTATGTTGTTATGATTTCCAAGTTTATAAGCAATAAAAATAATCTTTAATTTAATTTAATCGATTGTTTAACGGTTAAATATTTTTTTAATCCGTTTACTATTAAACAGTATGGTTTTTGTCATATTATTTTAATATTGTGTGTGTGTGTGTGTGTGTGTCAAAACCAAGTAATTCCGACAAATATACTTAAAAAAAAAAAAAAAATGGAAAAAAGTACTCCAACTTTTTGGTATAAATATATTATTGTAATTAGATGTACAGTAGAGTTTCGTTGATCCCAATTTCTACATAATATTATAATATGGACTGATTTTCGTTTCTCAAACGATTGTTTACAATATTATTATTTACACAGAACACTGTGGATTTAATTAGGTCCCATGCCATTACTTAATGATAATAAATTAGTATACAATATTATAATATATACTGTACTTTTTTTTTATCACGTGAGAATCGTTTGATAACAACAATAATAAAAATATACTTACACTACGTTTCTGATAATAATTTATTATTTCACAAGTATCACACGAATGCGTTTGAAACAATAATAAATATTGTTTAAGTAGCTCCGAACAAACAAAGACAGAGCTGTCAATTGTGTTTGTGTGTGTTTATCTTAAACTACGCATTATAATGTGTTCACGAGTATAACACTATTGCGATTGCGACATAAGAAAAGAAACTGAGCCAAATCATGCGCTTGTATTGTTGTTGCAGATACCAAGTTGTAGATATTGGGTTTAGTAAGAAATTAAAATTTTTTTTTCATATTGTACTTCTACAATGTGGTCTCACTCGGTTTTTTTTTTATAGCAAATTTGAAACTCGGTTAAAAATTATACTACACTCCACCTTTCCTCTTGCAACTTTAGTAACTTGAAAAATAGTCATCAAAAACATGTTATTTACCAGTCAATATTTTTTTTAAAGTTGAAGCAAAAAATTTGGAAGTGTGGTAAAAAAAAAAAATTTAGATCACATTGTATAAAAATAATAAGAAAAAAAATGAAATGTCTTATTAAACCCTATTGGATATAATGAGTGGTTCACGCTAAAAAATTACCCTTCAAGTACAATTTTTTGAACGATAAAAACTATTTCTCATAATTTATTAACGTAAAGACTTTGTGTGAAGCTTTTATGGCTGTAAAAAAAATAATAATATTTCATTGAAAAAAAAAAAGATGTATCTTAAAATTCTTGCCTTAAGTCTTCTTTTGAAGTCCTCGAAAGTACAGGGTGATTACCAAATCATACCAACTAACTTTCATTGGAGTTTATTGCAAGTTCTAGTGTACTTGTGTAATCACCCTGTACTCTAAAGTTTAAAATGAACGAATAAATTGTATTGTTGTGCATATCTTACCGTTTTTTCTTTTAGTCCAGTTTGTTTTGTACACTTGAAAACGACGACAAGAGATCGGATTTAAATTTAATTAAATTAAAAACAAATCTAAATAACAAATAAATGCCCGTAAATCAATCGGAGTTACAGATTAATATACGCCTATAATTAAAACGTATTGCCCACAGTGTGTCACGTGAAATCGTCACCATTGGCACTATGTTTTTGTAAAGATTATCACGGCTGTATAATATTATTATTGTTTGTCATAACAATTATAAGATTTGATGTCATTAAAAGCAAAAAGAAAAATACATCTTAGATACACAAATATAATACTTATTATTATCTGTTTAAAACTAAATTTTCCAATTCGAGCATAAAAAATTACCTTGTAAATTTTGTACCCCTAGAACTTCTTGAAAAAAATGTTTATTTAACTTCAAATTTGAAACTCTCTGTAATAATAATAGGTTTATAATAAATATTATGTTTATATCTTCCAAGTGTCGTTGCCCTTAATGTGTGCAACTGACCGACTTCTATTTGTATACAATAATTATGCTAAACGGTATTTGTAATGCCAAGAGTGGTTTGGTTAAAAAATTCTTCATTTTTTTTTTTTAGGTATTTATTTTCAATCCGGTAACTGTAAAAATAATTTAAATTATTTATTAGGTACTTTAAACGTAAAATAAGAAAATTTTATAATTTTACACGATTATCTAATAATAAATGTATTACATTATAGCTATATTTTATATGTAGGCATTATTAGGTCAACGATGGACATTAGGTACTCTTTGATATTTTTACCGAATTTTATCAAATCGTCGAGTTTTAGATATTTATGAATAAATAATGACATAAACACAGATATGCGGTTATATATAAACGTGGATAAGTTGTTATCACTTATTTCCCATATTGTTTTAATATTTTGATCCGTTTAATCATTTCAAGTGACTATAATGACTAATGTAAAATTTCCATATTATTATTTTTTGTGTAAACAAAATCCATTGGCAATATATAATATGCACATTTTTATTACACAACATCAAGATTTGAGCAAGCCACAATGTTAAACGTTTGCCTAGCGAACATTATTATGCGTGTTAAATTCTAACGTTTAAAGTACCTAATAAATAATTTAAATTATTTTTACAGTTACCGGATTGAAAATAAATACCTAAAAAAAAAAAATGAAGAATTTTTTAACCAAACCACTCTTGGCATTACAAATACCGTTTAGCATAATTATTGTTGTTCTTGGCCTTGTCAACTTTTCACTGAAATGTTTGACTGGTCGATAACCAGTTTTAAACTTAAATAACTTTGATAATAATTATTATTCACCCGCTGTGCGGTAAAATTCAGTCGTTTTCTTCGAGAAAACCATAATATTATTATTGTGTCTTGTACCCAAAACGGATCGTCTTCGCCATGCACAATACACACACACAAGACAAATGCGGGTATGGCGGTGGGAAAATATGATAGTAACTAATCGGAGCAACAATATTATTATTAGTACAGGGAAGGGGACTCGGTAGTAAATTATTATGTAAACGTCGATTACACACACGCTTGTGTATCGTTCAGGATTTATATATAAAACAAACGGTGCCGTTCATCAGTCATCAGTTTGCTCTGCCAGACCGGTGTGTGTGTGTGTGCGCATATTATATTCAATTCAATATTACCCACCTGTCGACGACCTAATCCAAAGACTGTTGCTGCTGCCGTTGCTTACAAACAACACAAATACGTACCGTATATTTTTTTTAAAACAAATTTTTCATCTCCGTCCACTTTTGTTTAATTCGAATGAACCCATTCGTTTACCCATCCGCGTTCATCTGTTCGTTTGAAGAAGCAGCGAGTCATACAAAATGCCCGATTTCGACGTCGGCGATGCTCAGTAAGTACTTGCCAAGAAGTACAATTATTATACACTTATGGTGACCAGATATAAAAATTAAAAAAAAAAACAGTACATTCCAAAACTTGGCCTACCCGTTTATCCTATGCCATATCCTCTCATAGGGCCGTATCTCCATCCTACATCCGATTACTCTATTATTTCTCTGTATTTATTATCAACTATAGAAACTAACGATTTGCAATAAATATTTTCATCGCAATGTCAACTTATTAGGTGTGTGTCTTTATGGCGAAAATACTTAATGAAACTTGGAATACATTGGGAAATATAAGAAATATTTTCCAATGCATTGAAAAGTATAAAATATATTTAAATTAATTTTTAAAGGTAAAAATACCAAGTATAAAATTGAAATATTACGAGTACAAAACTTTATCAATATATGCTTCTCCTTCGTGATCAAAATATAATTTTAATTGCGTTTTTAATTTTAACATAACAAAAAAGTCAAATATATTTTTGAGATCTATGAACCACTTTTAAGTAACTTAGTATCCGATTTTAAAGTTTTAATAGTTTTTTTTCAATTTATGCCGTTCATTTTATTTATTTATGTCAATAGATAGTTTAAATAAATACATTTTTTTATTAGAAAAACATTTAATGTGATTTTTTTTTGTTCTTATACACTTGGGTATAACCATGGCCTTTAACGTCTTAATCCGTGTGGTCTGTCTTGTCCGATCTGATATAACCTAACCTAACCTGACCTGACCTAACCTTACCTAACCTTACCTAAATGTATTTGTTTCACTGTCCACAGGTACGTGCCCTTGCCCAGGGACTGCTTGCGCCAGTACCAACGCAATTTCGTTCGCATGCAATCGTCTGCGAACGAGACCAAAAAATTGACCGCCGTCTCTCTGCTGCCCGCAAAGGTTGGTAAATCTGAAAAGTATTTATTTAAAATATGCCTACCTTACCTACGTCCAAAGGCCAAAAGAGTACACGGGATAAAAATATATAATCTTACGAAAAAAAAAAAAATGTTCCATAAATCATTCAACGACATTATCTAGAAATCCAAATTATAATATTATTTATTGCTATATTTGAAGCCTTTGACTTAGGTGTAATAACTATAGTTCTGTTTGTATGGGGATATTGTATAAAATGTGGTGTGGTTTGAGAAACAATATTTCAGCACAGTCAATAGTATTGTATTAATTAGACCACAAATCTAATTATAGTAACATTGCAACGACCGGGGAATTTCTTGCAGGAAGCTTGTAAAAATAATTAAATTATAATATAAGGCGTGTCCCGGTTAAAAAGCTCTGAAAACCAAAGCAGGTTTTTTGAGCATTTTTTTCCAAAATTTTCTTGGACATTTTCAATTCTACTTACAATGTTGCCGACACTATGATTATTTTTTCTATTACAGCCGAAGAAATTTACTTATAATTGTCTTTTGCTAATTTAAGGATAAGCAAATCATTATTAAAATTAAAATTAAAACAGCAATATATGTATTTTCTTTAACCGCCAACTATTATAGCTATAATACAGAAGCGGCAAACACATATGCGTTTCTAAAGTAAAAAAAAAAGTCTGTTTTTGTGTAAAAATCCCATTTTTTAATTATTTATTTTTACTATTATTATTGCCTCGTGTCGCCTGTTTAAAACACATGTGCAATTTATTTCCATAACAGAAAATTACAACATTGACTCATCGATCAAGTAATTCATCACATTTAGTCTTTAAATACTTTGGAGTTTTCGTTTTAATACATTTTTCTATCATTACCTTGGTTCAAGTAGTTAAAGGAAAGTATTTAGAAACATTAGTAATAGGTACATTAAAAATTCAAATAAAAAACAATAATGTAGTTGGGAAGAATCCCATTAAAAAAATATACATAAACGAAAATTGTTAAAAAAATTCAGTTTTTTTTTGTACTTTTATCACAAAATATGTTATAATAGAAACTTTGAAAATATTAGCGACCTTTCTTTGTAGTTATCGGTAATTTTTTATTTATCACTATCGTTTAAATCCGTCGAAAAACGGTTGTTAACCTAACCTACATCCCTTGTTCTTATGATTTTTTTTTAAATTCATTTTTTTTAACTAGTTTTTTATTATCAAAAAAAAATTCCATCAAATTGAACACGCCGTAAAATCTTCCTAAAAAATTGTTTGCAACAGCAATTAACTGTTTTTTTTTAACTATTGTTTTAGCTTAGGGAATTTGTCGAAGAGAACGTACGGATCTGTTGTCCGTCTAACGTGCAAGTATGCGACGGTTCGGATGCCGAGAACCAGTTGCTGGTCAACAAGTTGATCGAATCGGGCACAATTGTGTCCTTGCCAAAGTACAAAAACTGGTGAGTGCACAGTAATATACTTAGGTCAAGAAAATACATATTAAAATATTATCTTCAATGCATTTTTTTTGATTGGTAAAATCTTATATCGTGTAGAAAAAACATAAGACAAAATGCAAAATTTGGGTGTGTTTAACATATATTATGTCTTTTGTTTTTTAATGATTTTCAACACTTAAGCGCCTCTTGCATGTTATTTACCGACTTTGTTCGGTATGCAGAACGCCATTGTGGATAAAATATTAACACACGTGTAGATTTGATTTAAAATGTATAAAAAAAATGAATAATCATAATTATCAGCATATGGTAAAATATCATAATCCATCGGCCCAATGCTCAACGTATTTGCGTGCCGCTATTGCTAGTATTAATAATAATGTGTCGTTATAATAATATCATTGTTCCGTTTATTCCAATTATGTGCATGCATTTCAATGTATACTTTGTGTACACCTCCCCTGCTGGTGCCATCGATTCATTGTGGTTATCATACGCTGTTTATTGTATTATTATATTGTCCATCGCCGGCTTTGTCGTTTAAAGCTATGCCCGGCTTGCGATAACAGCACAATGGTGGTAAATAATAATATATACTATAATAATATTATCTTCATTTTAACGCCATTGTTCGTATTAGGCCGTGTTAAAAGGCCATTCGCAATTACTACACCAGTCCAATGTGCGTTGTTTGAGCTTATACAAATAACGCGCTTTTACCTAATTTGCCTTTGTTTCACCATACTACTTTGGGTTAAAAAAAAAAGGTTAGGTTTGGTCGGGTTTGGTTTGGTTAGGTTGGTTAGGTTTGGTTAGGTTTGGTTAGGTTTGGTTAGGTTTGGTTAGGTTTGGTTAGGTTTGGTTAGGTTGGTTAGGTAGTTGGGTGAGTGTTAGGCTATGTTGGGTTAGGTTAGGTTAGAAAGATTTGGTTTTTGACAATGATGGGGTTGTGTTTTTTTTTTTATTGTGTCCGGATATCTCCTGAACAGCTAAACCGCGACATCCTATTGTACGGCTATAGATCAAAAATCGTGGGGGCAAAAACTTCAACAAACCATCCCTTGGAAATTGAGAAAACCGCCCGAAAATGTACATGTTTTTTATTTTAAGTTCCCCTTTACAAATAACCGTAAGAACTTTGGAAAAGAGTGTAGATGCTAAGAGCAAAACGGTCGTAGAAAATAAAAAATTTGGTATCCTTAAAAAGAGTAGAACTTTACCCAGGTTCTCTGGTCGGTACTTTAGAAAACTTGAAATTTTAACTTAAATAAAAGGACTTAAAAAAATGTCAGAATTAAAATATAAATTAGTATTAATAAGTTTGATTATAATAATATAAAAAAAAACGACGAGAGAAAATCCAGATAAAGTTCTTATTATTTTAAATACATAATATTGTGAACATAATGTTGTAAAAATACCTAATATCTTCGATTATTATTTAGTCAATAAAATAGAATAATATGCGTAGCCATGTTTAGATGAAAAAATTACCAAAAAAAAGAGTCCCAATTACCGAACGAATAATTACACATAACACATTACAGTTTAACGTTCAAGTTCAAGTTTGTAAGAAATTGCCTATACTCAACTCCTTTAAATTGGATGGATTGGTGTGTTCTTAGCATGACACGCTCTAATTAAAAAATAAAAAATGATATAGCCGGTTACAAAATTTGATCGGATTATTCTTTAGACGTATACCTAATCGTTATACATTGACAAACCAAGAACCCTCCCCCCCCTTATCAGGGCTGGTTAATTTTACTTTATTGCGGTTTTTTCGAACGTGTGAAGTGTGCAAATTAGATTTAAAATCTAGACAATTGGGGCAATAACATGATAAAATTATAATTATTAAGAGACTTGCACGGGGTCTACTTTTTAGGAGTTTTATAAAGGAAATATTTAAGAAAAAAACGGTTTTGACCGATTAATTTGTATAATTTTCGAGGTAGTATTTTTTGTTTAAATGATTTTTTCTACGAGTAAAAGCCGTGTTGGTTTATTTTAGACAACATTTTTAGTTTCTAGTAATAGAATAAATAAAATTTGCAATTTTCTCAACATTAAAACCAATTTTTTTTTTCATAAAAAATGCAAAAACCCTAACCTAACCTATACAAATATAAGTATTGTATGTGGTTTTCTCAAAAATATTTAGTGAAACCTAACTTAACCCAACCTAACCTCCCCATTGTACTTGGTTTTTGTTTTGTCTTGTTGACCGTTAGAACATATTTTTATCAGCGGTAATTATTTTGCATAAACCTGAGAACATAATGTTATTAACATAATATTACTGCGGTAAACGGGGTGATTGCCAAATACAAATTCATCGTTGTTTGCACCGAGATTGCGTTTAAACAATTTATTTGTTAGCTGTTTAGTTACGCCAGAGGCTTTATAATAATAACAGCATGCAATTCTCGACCGCCTGACGCAAACAAACGGTTTGCAATAGGCGTCGTGAACAACGTCCAAGGCCTGGTTTGTAATATTTTAAAACGACTCTAATTGATGTATGTGTAGTGTGTTTACAAAGTTAAAAATCGTTTAAAAATGCGTATACCATATTATGAGTAGCGCCAATTATAGCTATTTATACTTGTGTGTAATAGCTGTAACTGTTGTAAACACAAAAGTCCTTAAAAACAAAAAAAAACAAAGTGCTATCATAAACAATTAATAAGACAACATGAATTATTTACAAGTCGTTCGGTTATATAATATTATTTACTACAACAATAAATTGTGATGATCAGAATTATTAGTAGGTATGCCAATATTTTGATAGCTTAACCGAGTTTGAATTTGTAGAAAAAAAAAAAGTGAATAAAAAACATTTTGGTGTATTGAATTTCTTCTAAAGGTATTCGTTGTACCTAGTCATAACAAGTTTTGGTAACATTTTCAATCCTCAATTGTATATGTTGAAGTTACTTTGTGTCCGTATTGTATTTTTTAATACAAAAAATATATTAAACGCAGACGAGTAGAAGAGTGTTATTAAATTCTGTAAATGTACTCGTTTGTCAATTGTTTAAACGCTCAGTTAATTAAATACAATTACAATTACAAACGCTGGTATAGTGTTGCTGTTTTAACAATTGCCATCGAATCGACTTGATAATTATACTTAGCAGTTAAAAAAAAAAACCGTTTTTATCTGACCCGATTTAGATGTAAGTAAAAATGAAAAGTAAAAATGCTACGTTACTTTTCCATGATCCTACATATCAGAATGTTAGGTTATGTGATGATAACATGGTGATAACACCTTCAAATATTTGATAAACCATAGAAAATGCACAGATTCATATAATAAACAAGATTGTGTACATGCCACAATTGAACTTACCATTTCCCGCCATCTTGAATTAGAACCATATCACGTGCTTATAACTATTATCACTGTTTAAAACAATTACAAGTATATATATATATAAATATTATTTTATAATACACATAAATCCCATAAAAATGGCCGACGTCGACTTCAATTCTTATCAGTAGTTAGCAATCTAGTGTATTTTGTACATCTGTGTAGAAATGCTAGGTTAGGTGATGGTTCTATGATGATAGCGCGGTCATCTATTTATTATGGCAACCTTCTTTTAGTGGACATTTTCATTTTCAAGCAGTCTACTGTAGGCGATAGGCGTTCCATATTAAATTATTGTGTTCAATGACTTCTAAACATAAAATCTAAAACCTCAGAATTGAATTTTTTTTTCGCTTTTGCTCACAGTCATTACGCGTAAACTGTATGATAATTTTCCGGGCAATAGTTTTCTAGCCAGGAGCAGCGTCAAGGATGTGGCCAGAGTGGAAAGCCGGACGTTCATATGCACCAGGAACCGAAGGGATGCCGTCAACGTTCCCAGGGGATCGGCTCTGGGGCAGATGGGCAACTGGATGTCGCTGGAGCAGGCGGACAAGGCGATTGAAGAGAGATTCGTCGGTTGCATGGCCGGTCGTACCATGTACGTGATACCGTTCAGCATGGGACCGTTGAACTCGCCGTATTCGAAAATCGGCGTGCAGCTGACCGACTCGGCCTATGTGGTTTGTTCCATGAGAATAATGACTCGGGTGGGAACCGAAGTTTTGGAAAAACTCAACTCGGACCAGGACAGTTATTTCGTAAAAGCCTTGCATTCCGTGGGAAGACCCGCTTCCGGTCAGGTGGAACATCCTCATTGGCCGTGCGACCCGGAAAGAACTCTCATTTTGCACAAGTGAATATGACTTTGAATTAATTTCCGTTTTTGTATTGACAGAATAAATGTAATTAAACGTGCCATTATTATTTCTAGACCCGAATTCGATGAAATAGTAAGCTACGGCAGCGGATACGGTGGCAATTCATTGTTGGGAAAGAAGTGTTTCGCCCTCAGAATTGGTTCGACAATCGCTCGTCGCGAAGGATGGCTAGCCGAACACATGCTGGTTAGTACATAATGTGGTTCAGTCATATTAGTTACTAATATCACTAGGATTAGAAGGTATCTAATATTCCGATATTGCTTGTGTTGGCAGATTTTAGGCGTGACCGACCCGAAGGGAAGAAAACGGTACGTGGTGGCGGCTTTTCCCAGTGCTTGCGGCAAGACCAACATGGCGATGATGCGACCGTCCCTGCCGGGATACAAAGTGGAATGCGTGGGCGACGATATCGTGTGGATGAGGTTCGACCAGCACGGACAGCTGAGGGCTATCAATCCGGAGTTTGGCTTCTTCGGCGTGGCCCCGGGAACGTCTGGTTCCACCAACCCCGTGGCCATGGAAACGATTTTCGAAAACACCATATTCACTAACGTGGCTCAGACCAGCGACGGCGGAGTTTACTGGGAAGGCATGGAAGATCCGGCCCCTGGAGTGACGGTTAAGGATTGGCTGGGAGAACCGTGGGTGCCGGGGTCCAGCACGCCCGCCGCTCATCCCAACTCCAGGTAATCGTCTCGGCCAAGACAAGTGCTGGGGGAGGTCAGGATTCAGGCTTATCGTCACGAAATCTGTTGGGCTCAATTTGCGGTAGCCTGGTAGAACCTAGTGACTAGAAGCCTTTGATTGAGGGAAGGGGAGGGAATCGGTGGAATCGAGAGCAACTGGCAAGGGAAAAGAGCGAAACGAGGAAGGAGAGGTCCATTTGTCAAATGCAAAAAGCATATCCAACGTGCAGCAGAAAAAATGTGTGATTTCTCCATTTGTTTCAGGTTTTGCACACCGGCCGACCAATGTCCCATAATCGACGAACACTGGGCATCGCCGGAGGGCGTGCCGATAGACGCTATTCTCTTTGGGGGCCGAAGACCTCAAGGCGTGCCTCTGGTGTACGAGGCGTTCGATTGGAAGCACGGTGTGTTCATCGGTGCTTCCATGAAGTCCGAAGCCACGGCCGCGGCCGAGCACAAGGGCAAAGCCATCATGCACGATCCGTTCGCCATGCGACCGTTTTTCGGTTACAACTTTGGACACTACTTGCAACACTGGTTGTCGATGGCAAACAAGGCCAACGTCAAGTTACCGAAAGTTTACCACGTCAACTGGTTCCGAAAGGACAAGGAGGTATGCCACATTTAATATTTAAAGGTCAAAATCCCAAAAAGGTCGTCATAGAATGGTTATGTTTTAACGTGTATATGTTTTTGGACCGGATACAAGAAATCGTATAACTTTCACGTGATAAGAGATAAGAGATAGAGAGAAGTGATAAGTGATAAGTGTTAAGAGAGAAAATATCAATGTTATTCCGTGGAGCGGAGCAAATAACTAGTTGTTATACTTCATTTAGTCCACTCAACCCATAAGTCTAATTCCAGGGAAGTGAAGCTTAAGGGGAATTGTACAATCCCAACCCTGGCGGTGTATTCAAAACTTGACATGGTAGTGAGGTATGAATGTTGGGGGCACGCTTAAAATGTGATCGCCCTAGTTTACTGATGATTAAATGATAGTTTTTCAAACTAGTCTGTCTGCCACACTATACTAATGTGGCTTTTATCAACCGACCTACCACAATGTCAGTAGTGGTCTTGATAGGGTAAGCCATAAACGATGGGGGCTAGCCAGGAATGTGAGACAATGGCTATTGATTGGTTGTTTCAATTATTTTGTTACCATAAGCATATTGTTAATGATTCTGATTGACACGTTTTGAGTCATTTTTGAGACATGCCAAAAACAATGGCATAATGACTCACGATTTAGGACACTGAAAAGGATATGGGTATGAGATAAGTGTGAATAAGGTTGGCTACGATGGTGGGAAACCGATAATTCTGACTTGTCGAATAATCCCTTTCTTTCAAGGGAATGATAGTTGGTTTTTTGATCCAGGGTAAATTCATGTGGCCGGGATACGGAGAGAACTCTCGTGTCTTGGATTGGATACTGCGCAGGGTAAACGACGAACCGAACACGGCCCAAGTGACTCCCATCGGATACGTGCCGACCAAAGAATCGTTCAACGCAACCGGACTTAACGTGGATTTCGACGGGCTATTCTCTGTGCCCAAAGAGTTTTGGACAGAAGAGGTAAGGTCGACGACGGATGACCGTGTAGATTAGCCGGTTGTGTGTAATGACACAGCTGTTTGTCGTTTCAGGCCAAAGAAGTAGCAAACTTTTTGTACGAGCAAGTAGACCAAGATCTACCGCAAGACATCCAGGACCAAATCAAAAATCTAATTGACCGTTTGAATTCGTATCAGACCAACTGAACGCTTAGTAGCTAATAACTCCGTTGCTTTTAAAAATTATATTACCACCCCTCCCCCTCATTCCCATTACCATTTAAAACGTTTAACAATTATTATTAGACTTTATTATTATTATTATTTGTATTATTATTATTATATATGTATTTAGTGTAAATGTTTATTGCAATCTGTTTAAAAAAATAAACTAAATCAACGACGAATACTGACTGGGTTTTTTCTGGATAAATTTCTTAATAACATACATATATTATATCTATATATATTATGAACCATTAAAAAACATCAAAAGTAATCGCCATGAAAGTGAACCGTTTATGTGGAATATTACATTAATCGTGTCCGTCTAACGGTTTAGAATGTTATTTCCTTTTTATTTAACGTACATTATGTTAAGCAATGCTTATATAGGAATACACATTCGAGTTAACGACCTGGTACTGTGTGGACCGACGACCTTGACCGCGGTTTTGAACAAGTCCGGTTTTCTGTGCGATTAGTTATCGACGATATTATTTCCGGCTATTCTTTGCTTTCTATTTGTCGTGGAACATATTTAAAAAAAAAAAATAATAATAAAAAAAAAGCCAGCACAGTGACGGATCATTTTGGAGTCGGCGAGGCAATCTGCAAACGATGGACATTTGAAACATCTACAAAGTTACATATTTTATAGCAGTAGGGTAGTAAAATGATCAGGGCTGCTCGTCTTTTGATAACAATTCTTCGCCATTTTTACCAATTGGTAGTCAACAGACCCACTCTGCTAATAGACACCCACTCTAGATATGCATTCATTCTAATTTTCTGACCTTAATTGCCGAAAAAGAAAGAAATAAAGAAAAAAAAATTCCACCGTAATAATATGTTTTTTTCCAATATTTTTATACTTAAAACTTCTTACTTCTAACACTTTGATGATACTTGTCTTTAGAAAGCAAAATTTCTCAAAATCTAGGTTAGGTAAGATGTTTTTTTAGCAACTATTATTGTGTTGTATTTAATTGAATTTTTACTTAAGGGAGTATTGCACTTTTTTTGTTTTAGCTTAAACAATTTTTTTTTTTATAAACAAATGTGTGACATAATAAATTGCACTCAACTTGTAAAAAAAAAAACATAATTTGAAAAAATGTTCATCTCGCAGGTCAGTAGTATCTCGGTTATTAGCTGCATAAACTTAGGTCAGTCGATAATATTACTTTAAGTAGGTAAATAATTAAACGTTTGTATTCTTGAGGCGATTTTTCGGGTAATTTTATTTTTTTTGGACGCTTTTTTTTTCCAAATATTTTTTAGTCGTTTTTTGTCGATTTTATGTGCGTTTTGTGCGATTTTCAGGTCATCGAGTCGCCGACCCCGAATTAATGCGTGCTAAACGGGGCGCGTAGACGTTTTGTGTGTACTTTGGCCTAACCATATCGCCAAGACGAATGACTTGAGATGTGCGGGCAGCTGTGTGTGATGGTGTCGGGCAAAAGGAAAAGCATATCCGCAGGAACCGGTATTCCCACCGAGCGGGTTCGCCGAGCCCGTGTCATCGTGTCTCTCAGTTCAGTCCGAGACGACCGTCTGTCACGTGTGGTGTTTTTTTTATTGTCGGTGGTAAAAAACTCATTTCATTTCATAAATAATTCAATGTTAATGTGATAGAAAATGAATACAGGTGTGTTTGCTGCAGTGCTGTTTACGCTGAGCACGTTGACGGCGACCGCCAATTGTTGGCCGTGGCCCAGTTTGTCGTGGCCGGGTTCGTCGAAGAGCACCGGAAAAGGTATGTTAAAACCCATTTGGAAAATAGTTTTCCATCAAAATATATATTGCTAAATCCTTCTAAATTACTATTCAGGGATGTTTCGATTTTGTCACTGCGCTTGTTATTTCCAAAAAAAAACATCTCAATATTATGTTGCTTTTATGCTCAGCTTAGGTTTTCATCTCAATCTATCTCTCAGGACTCGACGACCGCCTGATAATCCTTTAGAAAAACTCCACGAACAAATAATGTTAAATTGACTAAAACGCAATCTTCAATAATATACACAGATTTTTTGAGTATGAAAACACAAGTTGACTTCTTTGGTGCAGCTCTTCCAAAAATTTTCCTGCAGCAAAGTCACTTGTATCGTTTGAAAGCTAAGCAATTTATTTGTGTCACTAGGACTATTTTTTTTCTAAATAAGCTGATCTGAAATTTTGCTTTGTCATAAAAAAATACCCGCAAAAATGAATTAAATGCAATTAAATTGGAACAAAAAAAAAGCTGATTTTGGGATAAATGCCAAGTAAAGGTTGCAACTTTTTAATTTTGAGTTGAGAGAACGGTGAGTTACAAATCAAATTAATACAACTTTAATTAATTTGACATATAACTAAGTGCAACTCTAAGCATTGCATTTGCAAGGCCATGCAATCTAAGACTTACCTAACTTAACCTAACCTAACCATTAAAACGTCTTAATATATTTTACCCTCTTGTCGAGAGAACGCTTTGGAACAAATATAAAGTTGTACAAATATAAATACTTTAAATGTGCTTAGGCGTTTCGTACGGGTGTATAATGTCCATAAATAGGTAAAAAAAAATTAAATTTCCAAATTCATTGTTTTTCTTTTTCTCATAAAATTATTTACTCACAAAATGTGTAAAGTAAAATTGTATACTGTTACAATTGAACGAATACCGCCTATTTAAAAAGTCAACGACTAATTTCTGATGAAAAGAATTTGTTTGGATTTATTTTTTAGATTTTTTTGGCCATAATCATAAAAAGTATTGTTGTTTCTCGACACTTCATTTTTATAACTTTTTTTTACAGTATCTTCGGCTTAAAAATCACTTTTTTATGTAAAATTATCTCAGCTTTCTGGTGATGCTGTTCAAACAAATAAAACACAGCCGAAACGTGTGGCTTGGAGCGAAATTTTTTTTTACCTTCTTCTACACACCGGTTGGTCCGATTTAAACACACTGATCGTTTGCACACACTCCACTCGAAAGGAAGGAAGTACCTTCACGATAATAATAGTAATAATAATAACATGCAATCACTGTGGCTACTGCTGCTGCTGACCCGTCGCGGTACAATGATGATAATAATATGTGGGGCTCGTGCGTGCCCAGCTGCTGTATACAGGTCATTGCCGGTTTACTATTCCACATAGCGGTGTTATGGGTTTTAGTCTCCGACACACTCAGACCTAGCTATATAGCTGCTGTGTCCGAACACCAAAACAAACGCTAACGGGCAACACAATGATACCTAATGAAATGGTAATGAAATAAATACAACCGATAGGTTGTGTAAGTACACAAGTGGCAAGGCCGCTGTTGGTCGATGAAACTCAGTCGTTTATTCTCGGTGCGCGCCGGCCAAGTTCAAGTTCAAGTACAACAGTAATAATTATTATATGATGCGAAAATCTCAAACAATAATAATAATAATAATGTTATCAAAAGATATTAATCGCGAAACACTTGAAAAAAAATTGTACATATACAGGGTGATCCAACTGAAAATAAAAAATTCAAACGCTAACATATTTTTAAAACAATTTTTTCCTACAAATTTATGTAATTAAAAACATGTGTTGCCATTTAAAAAACTCAAAAATCCCCCTTTTTGGCTTATAAAGATTGGCGATAAAAATTTTCAAAATATTGAAAAATGTGTACCTAAAAGTTTAGGGAGAAAAAAATTCTCAAAATATTCATATTTTCAGAGAAAATGAGTGTCGTACGTTAGTCGGATCACCTTGTATATATAAATGGGAATTTGTTAAAAAGGACCTTGGTCACACATACTTGACCAAATAAGTTTTATGGCAAACGATTTATTTGCCGTATAATGTTGTATAATATATGTATATGGTTAGTATTCAAAGTTTGCTATTTATTTTCATTGTTATATTATACTCGATTAGATAATATAATAAATGAAAATGTACTATAACGTTATTTTCAAAGACAATAATTGTATATTGTTTTCAAATTAACAACTATTAGAATTTGTTATAAGTGTTCACTTATGTCACAGAAATTGTTTGGCTATTTAATCGAAATCGTGACAATTGATCTGAATATGAGAATTTATAAACAGCAAAATAGTTTTTCGTTTCTGCTGAAAAGTTACATAATATTATGTTCCTTTTAACAAATTCCCATTCATATAGGGTGAGCAAAAATGTAACGAAAACGATTTCCGGACACCTGTTGATGACTCGGCCACACGATGCGACCTAGAAATGTATTATTATAATTTATGTTATTTATTAGAAAAGTTAAAGTGTAATTCTCATCACACACACACACACACATTTTTTGGGGTTTTTTTCATTAAAATAAATAAATAATCTATGACCTCTTCACAAAGTAAGGCAGTTAGTTTTTCTTTTTGATAATATTATTTTCACTGATGTAATTTTACTACAGTATATTTACCCTTTTACTTTTACCCTATTTATAAACTTGAACGGTATTCACTGAAAACGTTGACTGGTCTCGACAATCGGATTCGAACGACTACTTTTGAACCTATTGAGGTTTAAAATACCTAATTTAGGACAAGAGAAAGGGCGCGGAATGAAGTATTATACTTTTAATCTGCTCGACCGCATAACTTTAAAAGTAAACATCCAAAACTGGTTATCGACCGGACGAAATTAAAAAAAAAAAAATACTTAAGTAATTACGTTCTGGGAAATATTAAAAAAAAGTTCAGTACTTGGTAATTTTCTAGTATTGTTAAACGACAGGAAAAAAAACGTTTGTAAACCTATGTTATGTTTGAAATCAAAATATTAAACTAGTAAAATAAAATAAGCAATTTAAACATGTCTTGAAGTCTATTGGTTTATCTGATTGAAATTCAGAGTTATTCTGTAGTAAGTTATATATCGTATGGGTGACCAGGTATAAAAATCCCCAAAAAAGTACATTTTAAAACTTAGCTCCTCCTCTATCATAATTGGCTGATGTGTATATACTTTTCTACCCGTTTAGCCTATGCCATATCCCCCATAGGTCATCTCCATCTATATAAATTGTTTTTTTTTTTTTTTTAGCCGATTACTCTAATATTTATATTTCTAGTACTGCTCCAATAAAAGCCCCAAACCGTTCTGTAATCGTTTACAGTGATTTCAATTGCGTTGAAAACAACGACCGGAAATTTATGCTTGGCAATGGCTTTACAGCCGAAAGGTATAATATCTTCTTGTGAATGCTATTCTGCCATTGGATTCGGTCGAACAAATGGTACAGAAGAAATGGTACGTTTGTGAAATTATGACCTACACACGAAGAGACACACACACACACACAATGAAGAGTTTGATCTAATAAAGTTTAACGTGGCATTGTCAAAAAATAGGCTTTCTCTTTTTTTTTTTTGTTATTGTCAAGTTCATACACAATTATTACAATAATGTTATTGTCGGCGAATAAAACACAATCAAATATGCAATTGATGTTTTCGATTAAAATAGGTATATAACGCAGCAGATGTATTGTTTGACGAAACCCTGCACAGTATAAACACAGATATCATAATATAGAAAAAAACAAATAAAACACTATTCATAAGTAATATTAGAACTGGGCACAAAGAGTTAGCTGTAGGTGTTAAGAACAAGCATATTACTTTTCGGTAGCGTTAAAGTAAAAAAAAAAAAAAAACTCAAAAATAGCCAGACAAATTAAAAAACTATTTGAACCAAGGACAAATACTTGTGACCGAGTAGCTCGTTAATGCGCTAAAGCGTTTCCTGTGTTTCAAAATTATTAACTGTAAAAGAACAAAAAAAGAAAAAAAAACATTTTTCAATCAAACGAACAATTTTTTAAAAATATTATTTTGCACATAATACACTAATAGTGTCGTTATGTATAATTTAATAAAAACAATTCATCTGAGTGAGCATGGAAATTATTTTATAAAAATTGTTTGCCCTAAAGCATAATTTTTTTACATAAAATATTATAAACGTCTTACTTTATTTATTTTGAAAATTAGTCAATTATCTGATAAACGGGTTGACTATTTAAATAGATACTGATTAATGGCACACTGGTAATATTATCGTTCATATAGCTTTTTACTATAATAATACTACTTGGTGTAAAAATGATAAAATTTAATCACTTTTAGTTATAAAAGTAAACTAAATTAAACATACAATACACTTATAATTCTGTAATATTCTGGCGGGTAAATTGAAAGCAATACAACAAAAGTTTTAATTAAGGACCGAGAAAAGTCTTCAAGATAAATAATTTGGTCGAATTCAATTCCTCAGGAAATAAGTTTAGTAGTGGGCAATTAAAAAAATATTTTAGGACAGATAATTGCATAGGTAATTTACCCAAGTATAGAATAGTTTGCTTTAAACAATTATCTACAAATTAATAAACCTTGAGAATGAGAGTGGTTTTTCTATTTGGAGACACTCAAAGTCCATGTTGTTGTACAATTATTATTAGATAACAGTTAAACATTATCTTTTTTCCAGTGCTCTGTCGATTTTTAAAACTTGATCTCACTTAAAATTACCCTCCTAAGTTTTAAACTTAAAAAACTTTAAAATGAATTACTCAAAACCGGTTATCGACCAGTCGAAATGCAAGTGCTTTTCCATTTAAGTTTCAAAAGTCGACAGAGCTCTGGAAAACCTTCAAAAAAGAGGTAAATATTTATTGATTTTTATAATATTGTAAAAAAAACCACAACAATTTTAATTGATTTAAGAAAAAAAGACTTAGTGAAAACGTTAACACCTTTTGTTAAATTTGTCTAGTTCAAAGTGTAATACTCACATGTTGATCGAACAAAAAAGCCAATTAACCGAATGATTTTAACTTTTTACAAATGATAAATGATATTCTCCAGTCGAGTGTCTAGTCCGGTCGACTCCTAGTGACAAAATGTTAAAATGTAAAAGAATCATCTTGTGTATGGTCGTGAATAGAAAAATTACATTAAGCCATTCTACTTCTACTACAACTATGATAAAAAAAAAAAAAACATAACAAACTAATTTTTCTAATAGATATTTTGACGGGCATGTTTGTTGACCGAAACTGACAGCCCGTCGATTGACAATTTGTGTATTTTTAAAATTATTTTTCCACTTTGTTATAATTTGTCACGCGTGAGAAACGTTTGGGCAAATTAACCATTTATAAAAAAAAAAATATAATAATTTATCGGTTTATTTTTTTTTTTTGTTAATAAAAAACGCGACACGTTAATTAATATTCAGCTTTTGGCATAACCAATGTGATATTTTTATTTTTATCGGCTGGCCGACAATAAACAGAATAAACGCAGTAAAGCGTTTCTGAAATATTTTGTTGTCCATAAGAACGTGCAATTTCTCTGGAAAAAAAAAATAGTTTATAACAAAATAAATACATAAACTATTAGGTAGAATAAAAAGTTACAACAGTATCCTCACTTTATGCAGATAAATCAATACATGGGGATATGTCCTGCAATCTAGTATCTCTAATTTATTATCTCAAATCCACTATCTCTAAATCATCTCCATAATCATCTTCCATATATCCTCCATACTCCTCCATAATGACGTCAGCACTGTGCCATAAGACATATTATTCATGTCAAGTATTTAATTTCTAGAAAAAGCTGTCATCTTTGTCTTTTAAACTTACTCTAAAACAAAATCTACCAAAATTTGATGGTCTAGTTGATGGTTTCTATTCGGTAAGGACATGTTATTAGCAAAAGTGATAAAAACCACTCTCAAAGGGTAAAAATATAAAATACGGCTAAAAAAAAAAACGCTACTTAGGCACACTAAAATTGTGTTTTGAAGCGACGACGGATTTTTCAAATTAAACATTTTTACTGTATACTATTTAAGTATACTCAAGATCCACCTTAAATCTGATTACTAAAAGGCCAAACTAGATAATAGGCAACGTTTATCATTGTGTTTTTGGCTAATGTTTTTACCGAAAAGTCAGTGTGTTAAACAGGAAGAGATGAATTTTTTCAACAACTAGTCTTGCACAAAAAGTAACTTTGGTATACTATTTCTTAGGTTTTCTGTAACCGTGTACACAAAGAAATATTGGTCCATATACCTTTTGAGCTGCGCACCAATGCCAAAAAGAAATAACCTTTTGAACATATGTATGTTATATATTTTTTTTTTCACTATAAGATTTAGCTTTGACCGAACAACTATGTAATCGTTTTGGGATTTTTGTGAAGACATTTCATTTTGTCTTGTGTTATTCTCGACTCGTTCTGTACAATAATTTGTCTTATTGAAAAGAAAATATACCATTTATATTTCTTTAGACCGGAAAACCGCAGTTAGCTTATTGGAAAACATTTTTTTTAAAAATAGGAGTAAAATTGAGCGTGCCTTTTTTTTATTCCTTAAGCGTAGCAAATAATAAATTATCCCAATAAAAAACGTTGTAAACAAGCGGATCGTTATTAAAATAATAATAGCATCCGTTCGATCTCAGTAATAATATTAACTATAGTTAATTAAATGTGTAGCCTTCTCCTATTTTTTTTTGTTTGTTCTACATTCGTTTGTCAATGATAAGAAACTTCGGACAGGAACGGAGTGCGATGGGATTTATAGAAAAACTTTGAACTTTTTAAAACACTTTCTTAGAATTAATTTACAGTATTGCATGTTCATAATGTCCTGTCAGTTTGTAAATAGATTAACAGTACAATACTAACGATAGAAATTTCCGAGAAAGTTCAGAAAAATATTTTTTGACAGTTTTTTGACAAGTCCAAAACCGATTTGAAAAAAATGGGAAAAAAAATTGAGGTAGACATGACTTCTTAGATTGTATTTAACATTAATGAATACCGAACGTTACAGTTTGTCAATAATAATTGTTGATAAGTTGCCAAACTGATTTTTCTGTTAAACGCTACAGATCTAGTGGTTCATTGCAAAAGTGGTGTAACTCGAAATTTTCGAAATATACATATTTTTGCTGAATTCAGTCTTACTTCTTTCATATCTTTCGTTGTGGAAGAGAAGTAACTCCGAAAATAAATAAAAAAACACTGAATGAATATTTGTATAATGTATTGTTTTCCTTCGCATTAGTTCACAAAAAGCTCGTTATTTCCTAATTCAATTACAAGGGGATCATTCACTTTTACAATGAACTTTTGCACTTGTGTAACTTGTTTTCGGCCCCTAACTCAAAAAATGATAATAGAAAAATGATTAGAGACCAGAAATAAATGATAAGTGATAAAAGATAAATGCTAAGACATAATTGATAAGAGATAAAAGAAAAGAGATAATTGGGTAAGAGATGAATTATGAGAGATTAGAGATAAATTATAAGAGATAGGTGCTAAATGATAAGAAATTAGAGATAAATAATTAGAAACAAGAGATAAGAAATAAATAATAAGATATTAGTGGTAAGAGATAAATGATTAGAGACTAGAGGTAAGAAAAAATTGATAAGAGAAGAGTTAGGGGCTGAAAAAGACTGAAAATGATGTGACCCATCTTTTAAGGTGAGTTCTTTGCACTGAATAACAGGGAATAATTTTTTTTTTTAAAGTCATTATTTTTTTACTTAACTGTCGAAATCTTCAATTTTTGACTTGTCGAAAAAATGAAAACGGGGGGCTTATTTGGGGTTCCCCCATATGTCCAATCACCTATTACTTACCTTTCATGCTGGAACACCCTGTATAATACCACTATGACTCGTTGTGGGTTTACTACCTACGTGAAAAAAAAACACTTTTACAAAATGATAACAAATCGGTATAGGACTCTACGGTATTATGTAAACCTATGCTCTGTATACTCTTGGGCCAAGGCGATGCCATCGCATTAGCCATCGACTGGAAAAATAATTATTTAGGTCACTCGAATGAAACGTTCAAAATTAACAAAAAAAAAAATAATACTCAACGCGGTGGCCGATGGATTTTTTTTTGTAAAATAAAGAAATCCGCCCTTATTTTTTTTTCTTTTTGGTGTGCGTGGAGTTAAAATACAGAACCGTGAGAGTAAAAATGAATAATTATTTTATATATATATATATATATATATATACAATATTATGTTTCTTGTAAATTAGTCTGAATAGCGTGTGCTGCCGTTCCAGTGGCATCTAATTACCATGTCGAATCCGGTCCTCTCCACACGCGCTACTCCCACACACCGTAATATTGTGCTGTCGTTAATGTATATGTCCTTTAATATTATTATTTTTTTTTTATCGACGCTATCACCGATGTATTAATCATGTTTTGGAATTTGTTGTTGGCAGTGTTGAACTTCTTTCCAGTGCCCGTAACCGAAGAGTGCTTGTCCGACGATTCCCGGAGAACAGGTAAGCGCTAAAAATTATTATTATTATTTTTTCTCTCTATACTTAAGGGATAAATATAAAAATACAGGAATAAAATATCCCAGTACAAACGTTACACCTTAACCGAAAGTGTAGTAAAGACACTCTCGATAGCTTTTAAAAATAATTGCAGTTTTGTAGGGTTTCTTTTTCAAAATCATTTTTGTGTATGTTATTTTACAATATTATTAAAAAAAAAACACTAAAAGACTTTTGAAATTCATACGGTAATGTATGTATTTCAATTGAGAACAATTTGCTGACAATTGCTAACTGGCCAATAACCAGTAATTAAAATTTAGCTCGACAGTGTGGGTTTTAAACTTTGGCAGTTATCTAAAAATTGGTCGTCGACCGGTCTACGTTTTCGGAATATTATTCTTAATTTTGTTACCATATTTTAAGTTTCAAATGTCCATAGAGCTCTGAAAAATACTAAAAAATGCGAGTATTATTAGTGTTCTTATAATATTAAAAAAGATAAAAATTTGAATATTGTCTAATATCGGAAAACGTGATAAACTCTAAGCGTCTCCAAAAAAGAACAACTACAAAACTGCATTTGTTTTAAGAGAAATCTTGTGTCTAATTAATTATTATCCTTATATTGATAGTAATTAATCCTGAGCTATATACCTACTTTTATGTCCACGCGTATCGACCTTAACTTTATCTGCAATATAATAACATAACTGTTTATAAACTTTATATTTTGTGGATTAATTTTGCCGAACACTTGCTATTTGACAACATTATAAAAATTATCAAACATTTGCCTAAATTACTGAAAACTGATTATCGACCAGTGAAAATGTTCAATAAACTGATTCTTAAATTGAAACGTTAATTAAATATACATTACCAAAGTTTAAACTATAGAGTAGTAATACAAAGAGAACTAACTGTAACGATAGAAAAAACTAAAATCAGTATGACCACACAAAAGGAAAAAAAATGTCTTTGTTGTTGAGCGGTGGGTACTCGATGTGATAATATAAGTTTTTACTTCTTATTTTAAAATATTATTGTTTTTTTTCTCAAGACACTGTTATCATTGATAACCGTATCACCGCGATATTATCACAGATTAAATAACAACAGATAGCGCGCTATAAAAAAAAATTAAAAAATGTAAACAAACTTTAACAACCTCAGGTCAGTGTGACCAAGTGATGAAAAAACATCCGTCCATCTGTTGTACAGTGTGGTCTAAAAAAATATATCAAACATCTCTAATGTTTTCACCATTAACCATCGTTAATCGACTACTTTTTATCAGTTATCGGTTATAAACGGATATTATGTTTATATTTTATGTTTTTTCTTCATATTACAGGGTTGTGTCTGAACGCGTACGAGTGCAGGATTCAAAATGGAGAGTCACGCGGTCCTTGTGCTTTGGGATTCGGCGTGTGCTGCGTTTGTAAGTCTTGTATTTTATGTTAATATTATAATTATTGTTATTTTGTTCGTATTCGATTTCCACTACACACACGAACCGATCGGAGACGTTTAGTTTTTAGTTAAACAAATAAAACAACGCCCTGTATAAGACATAATTGTATAAGATCCGTATTTGACCATATTTTTCAATACTTTAAACATTATCTGAACTTTATAAGACCACTGTGATTCAGTCTAACACGAAGAACGTCTCCAACAACCGTTTACTTCTGCAAAAAAAAAAAACACTCCCCTTCCATCAATGTGGTCTTAAGGCATCGCTCTCTGGGGTGCCACAAAAGCTTCAAACATTTGGACAACACAAGCGTTCCAATCCACACGTCCCCACGCGAAGACCTAAAAGTCGCAACTGCCAAAAAGACAGTGTCTTACATAGGGTGGATCATTCTGTATAATAAAGTGTGGTGTGTGTAATTTTGTTGGCAGTCACATCGTCGTGTAACGCAGAGGTGGCTAATAACGTCACGTACTTTGTCAACCCGAATTTTCCGGGGCTTTTGAACGACGTGGGCGAGTGCACGATCCGCATCAAGAAGGTCTCCGACGACATCAGTCAGATACGCTTGGACTTTGTGCATTTCAATCTGGTAAGTCTGCAAACTGTCAACACGATCAAATCAAAGCAAAAACCGTGTCACGCACTGTCTCAGTCAATATCTCAGAACACGTTACACTGTTTTTAAAATTAACCTTTATTATTATTTTTTTTTTTGAGCAGTAGACAAAAAACTAGTGAAAGCAGTGTGTAGCGGAGATGAGAATGGCAAGGAAGAGGTAGCTTAAGCGAGGCTTGGATAGCGGAAGAAAAAAGGAGAGAAAATAGATTGAGACGGTTTGGAAGAGAGAGGAATCGAAAACAGTAAGAATGTTAATTGAAAATAAACATACACGAAAAAGGGGCAAGAGAATGAGGACTGCTGCTGTATGCAAAGATGATGTGAGAGATCTCAAACAGTTGGGATGAAGGCTAAGGAGGAGAAGAAAATACTTTTATAGCTGATAGTGAACCCCATCCTTTGTGCGGTCAAACCCTTATGAACTTGAGCTTTTCAACTGGTAACGTGTATATTTGTTTAACTTTTTAAGTTGAGAATAGTTTACTGACAGTTTTATAGCATTAAAAATACCTAGCCTAACTTAACTCATAGGGTTTTCGCATAATGTAAGGAATGGGATTATATTGTTGTATCGAATTTAGGCAAACTATTAACTATAAAAGTGTAAAGAAGAATAGTTTGAAAAAGTCTAATAAGTTCTATGTTCTACCTTCTCGGCCTCGTATCTAAGATGAAATAATAGCAATATTTTTCGTTTAACCTAACTTAACTTAACCTAACCGTTTGCAGGCACAGCCCAACAGGAAAACCGGAGTGTGCGAGACCGACACGTTTGTAGTGAGCGGGGCGAGATCGAGCAATTTGAAATTTTGCGGCCTCAACAGTGGTCAGCACGGTATGTATCTACTTGATTTTGTCCATAGAGCCTTTTCGTGGGTTAAAAATGCTTGAAATCCAGTATTGAATTGGGCCGAAACTGCCTATTGCACTAATATTCATTCTGTTTGTTCTACATTTCCTCCAAACCCCAATATAACGTTGACTTTGTCTGGCAGCCAGATTGTTATCATTAAAAATGTGGCTCACTTCACTCTGTCCCGTAAATCACCTAAGTACCTCTAATCACATTCTAAATGTACATCGGAATAAGGCGTTACCTGCCATTAGAGATCCGCAATCCACCACCAGCCGTTGTTGGAGAGCACACGGGTATACAATAGTGCTGTTATATTAGGGTCACCCGTGTATAATATTATCATCAGTTGATTTATGATGCGTCGGTTCTGGAAAACGGTTAAAAAAAACAATACAATATAATAAATAGGACGTGATCAATTGACACACAACGCGCTGACGGTAGAGAGACAAACCATGTCCTCGTATGTACGTTTGTTGCGGGTTGGTTATGTTTTTTTTTCCACCTCATATTTTTTTTTTATGCGCTTTTGATGCGCTCCCCCAAGTTCCGAAATCGATAAACAGAGAAATAAAAAATACATAACACATTATACATTGTGTGTACGAAAACGCAGCAGCGTTAACGATAGATGCAATAATAAGATATATATATATATAGAGATAATAATACACACCTATAAAAAGGAAATCGTCTCTCTCTCTCTTGTATAGCTTTATACACACAAAACGGTCTAATGTAATGGCACTTTGAGTACAGAAGCGTTCCACTAGACAACAGCATAATATACCTATACCTATGTTAAAAAAATATCTCTCCACGTTCAAGTACAGTATATATTATACATATACACATGAGCTATTATTTTTAAAATCCAAAAACAAATACCACTCTATTATTACAGCCCGTTCGCCCGTTAATAGCCGGCCTCCCGTACCACATGTACAGGGTGATCCAGTTGACAAAGTTAATTTTATATATATATATATGAAAAACACCTAAAATACTTGATACATATTTCATTAACTAATGAAATATTTTTAATACACTCCATTGGTTACTTAAATTTGTTTTCCAAAGTCGAATAGGTGATGTTTTTTTTTAATCTTGAACGATTCGATATATTTTGAGACACCTTTGCAAGTAAACAGTTAATTAAGTTTGTACGTTATCGTTTCAAAGGTAAACAAAAAAAAGAACATAAGCAAAGTGATGACTTATCGTGCACCACTGATGATATCTCATTGGGTTTAATTGATAATTGGATTTTTATTTACATAGTGTTTTTTTATATAATGTGATCTCAGTTTCCCACAAATTTTTATGTTCCTATCCCATTTCCCAACTAATAATTTTTACATCAACTTTCGAAACTTAAATGGTAACGCATACATTTAACGAACTTTTGAGAGATTTGTTGAAATAATAATAAATGTAGCACTAATTACAAGTTGTGCTCACCCTGTAAAATCGAAATTTCTTTTAAGAGGTATCGAGAAGTGTCTTACACGTTAAACGGATCATCCTGTACTGCTATATAATAAGTGCAGTGTGGTTTATCTGCCAGGCGACACACGTCGGTTTTCTTCTTTTGTTATCCATTATTGTGGTATTGTTCTTGTGGTATATCTTTTGTGCAACAAGGCAATGTCTAAGACATGCGTTTTTTGATTTACCGCAGTGTACTACGACGTGGACGACGTTAAAGATGCGGTCACGATCAACATCCGACTGACGAAAGCCAACTACAACCGAATGTGGGAAATCAAAGTGAGTGGAAAACCGCAAAAACGTCAACAAAATGTACCTACATTGTGCGCATAATAATTGTGCTGCGTTGTTTTTAGATAACCCAAATAGAGTTTGTCCAAAGGGCGCCGGCCGGATGTCTTCAGTACTTCCAAGGCGTTTCGGGCACGATACAAACGATGAACTACGCCATCAACGGTCGCCATCTGGCCGACCAGGATTATGTCATTTGCATGAGACAAGAACAAAGTAAAAACATTTTTTTAAAATTATAATTAAAAAAATCCAAGTGTGGCCGGGTCCAGGAGGGGAGGATGTGGACCATACAGGAATTATTATTAAATGAAACATTGCCCCCCAATTGAAGCTCCGCTTGTGTGGGTTAAATTTCTTACTAAATATATTTTTCCAGGTATGTGTTCAATAGTGTACGAACCCTGTGACGAGAACTCTTTCAAAATAGGACCGCCCATTACGGAAGGTAAATGCGCTTATGGCAGTGTACTGTGGCTGGCAATCGGTTAGAGATTAAAGGAATAAATTAAGGATTAACATTTTTTTTTTCTTTTCTTAATATTTGTCTAGACAGCTCTGTCGAAGGATCCGGCGACGGCGGCGGTGGCAGCCAAGTGCTTTCTTTAAACGCGTTCAGAGAGTGCAGCGACAGAGTGATGATGCCCTGCGATTCTGAAGAATTCCTGACAGTAAGTATGAATAGCACACACAACCCATGCATAATTATAGTACATAATAATAACAGTAATAATAAGGTGCGCTCTCCACCACAACATTCTTGTCTGTTATCGTTTATGTTTACATTTTAAATATCAGTCAAGTGGTTTTCAACAATCGCAGTGGCGCGTCCAGGAATTTCATAAACCGACGAACGTGATAACACACAGCTAAATTAAAAAAGAATCTAGTTATTTTCTCAGCTTCACAGAAAAAATATTAAATTATGCATATGTTTATTATCTCTTATCACTCAAAACTAATCTCTTAGCTCTTATCACGTATCTCTTATCACTTATCTCGTGTATCTCTCTTCGAATCACTTTGTGACATTCTATTTGATGTTTGTCTTGCAGCCTCAAGGCGGACCTGGAATTTGTGACCTGTTGCATTGCGGAAATACATTTTGCTCGGACAAAGAAACGCCGTGCCGAATCGAAAGTATGTATGGCGGATGTGTAATCATCCGTTTACTTATAGTTATTATCTTCAAACGGCCACGGATTGGTCGACAACACAAATTAAAAAAATAATAAAATATCCTTATCGCATATTACTTTTTACAATTGAAAATGGAACTATTTGAAAACCAAAGATTCCGTTAAAAATATTTCATACTCAAGTCATGGACGTCTTTGAGTTCGTTTTGACTTGATAGAATTTATTTTATCACATATAGTACCAACTGCTAAACAACAAAGACTTTTTATTCATTTGTGTGGTCATACTGGTTTTAGTCCTTCGTTTTACTTCACTACTGTGTTAGAGCTAGTATAATATTTGTTAGTTCATCTCTTTGTATTTCAAACTCTATGGGATGTACAATGAAAAAGTGGCTAAATGTGTAGTAGCCTATGCATTATATTGACCTTGAAAACTGTTATATTTTTTTTGGCATGTTTCAAACTAAAGTAAGGATTTTTGATCAAACTAAAATTTAACCAACAGTGGTAAACTATGCACCCGGTGTCCCGGACGTTCAGGCATGTGTCTCACACAGTGTTACCTCGATCTGATCAGCCACAGTTGTTGAATTTTCCTTGCAACTGCATTCCCTCCAACAGGCAACCATGAGACGTCGACCTTATCTGTGTCGCACCACAGTTCCTCGATCTTCAGTCAGTATTGAATTCCGAGCGTTAAGGCACTAGATAGGGTTAGTTTATGATAACGGTTTGCACTCAACTCACTCACTTGTGAATCATAAGTACACCATTACCTAAATTATTTTATTGTAAATGTACAGGGTGTCTCAAAAACAATGGTGGGGTTTCAAACGGCAGGCGTTCGAAACTTGACAACTCTCTCTTTCATTCAAGCCCTACCAGAGCGCTGTAGGTCCAATATTTCACAGCCGTTTGAAACCCCACTATTCTTTTTGAGACACTCTGTAGATTAGAATAAGCGGTTATCCGTATCATTAAAATTCGAACCTTTTTCGAATTGTGACCATTGATGTGACTAACGGAGAGGATGATTGGAATTTGTTTTTTTTTTTTTTTAATATTTTTATTCGATTACAGGTAGTACGACGCCTTTTGTGATGCGCGTCCAATTCGGACCCGGCAACAGAGAGGAGAACCCCGAAGACAACTTGGGCATGTGCATCAGATACGAACAGCAACAGTGCATGTCGTAGGGAAAAACAATGGTTTTCCACAAAGCGTACGGTGTTGCCAACTGCAGCGGTTACACTTGGCAAAATCGTATGCAACGAATAAAACGCTCTGTCCGTCCGACGACAACAACTGAGCGAAACGACCAAAGATAGTATTCTAAACACAGACACGGCCAGGATCTTACACTAGTATTAAAAGCCCTGAAGAGGGATGTGTTGAGAAAAGAATATATAAAAAAAAAAAATACCAAAAAGTTTGAACGTCAATGGTGTAATAAAAACTTAATAGAGAAATATAACATAATACGAACAACCTTAAAAATCACAACCACGGAACGTAAAATAAACAATAAACAACATTAAAACAAAATAATAGCAATTTCTAAAAAAAAAAAAAAACATACATACATGTAATATTATACGGATAAAAAAGAATTGTTCCAATAAGAACACACCGACGGATGCCGGTACATTTTATACTTACGGCCAAAAAAATGAAAATAAAAAAAATAAGAGTAACTATTCGATTAAGTATAGTACAATGATAATATTAGATAATAGAATTTCCATAATAACACACGTCTCGTATCGATGGTAGGTAATATAACATTATTTTTATTGTATATAATTGTTTAACGTTTATTTTCTAAACGAGTAGGTATAAAATATGTAATTTTAGTACAATATTTGTATTTAAGTGTAATTTTTCAATGCGTTTAGCTCAAATTGTTTTTGTAAATAGGTATATGTATTAAAAACGACGTTTTATAAATATTACGAAGAGAGTATTTTGTTATAACATTTTTTTTTTTTTGTTTTTGTTTTTGTTTTAAACAAAGCGTTGATTGTATAATATTATCTAATCAATTATTTTTCCTTGGTGCTTTCGAAAAAAAAAATGATCGTAACCGACAAGCTATACACGTATAATCTAGCATAATATTTTTATTATGTACAAAAAAAAAAAAAAGTTTTATTAATAAAAATACAATATAATGAAATAAAACAATTATAAATATATAATTATGTATGTATATACTTACTGTTTCTGTTGTTTTAACAATAAATAAAATAAAAATGTATTACCAATATTTTTTTTTTATCAATAAGAAAACTATAATAAACATTAAGTTGTACATAACTGCAGAATAGAAACGAAATGTATAGTATATAATAATATAGTATACGCTGTGCGACACGAGTAGCCTTTTTTATTAATTTTTTTTTTAAAAACATTTTAATTATAGTTAATTTAATCGATAAAGTGAGCAAATTTTTCGCCGTGGAAACAAGTATATTAGTACAAAAGTAGTTATCAAAAAAAAAAAAAAAATGAAAAAAATTGTCTTTAAAAAGTTTTAACGTTTTTTTATTTTTTTATTTTACTATTTGGTCGACGTTATGGCGACCGATAATAATAATAATAATGATATCAGCTATTGTATTGTCAAAAACAGTAACAATAATAATATTATTATAGCTGTATAAAGAAGCTGTCGAAGGACGTACACATTTTTTTTATCTGTTTAAAACTATAAAGGCTCACGTACACCGGAAACACTATGACCTAGGACTATCTAATATCACAACATGAAAGCGACGACTTTCAGTAAAACACAAGTTCCTGCACTGATATTTTTGTTATGTTTGTACCACTGATTTTGTATTATCATTATTAGACAACAACTACGAATTAAGATAACAGGATAGCCAACGGCCCATTTGTAAAGTGTCTCACAAACTGATATTGCAGTTTCACTACAACTTGGGCAAAATTCTTAGTGCCAACCTTAACAACATCTCAGCACAGTGTGACCAAATAACGAAAATAAAAATTATCCTTCTGTTGTATACAAAGTGGTCTAAGAAATGTTATCAAACATCTCTAACGTTATCACCATCGACCGTCGGCAATCAACTACTTGTTATCAGTATTTCTTATCAGTTTACGTTATTATTGCGTTAAGGTGAGGCCAATCAAAAATAGTGATTTTAAAATCTATTGTTTTTCTATGAAGTTCACCATCTTGTTTTATTTAAACCAATAGTAATATGTCATTTCATAGTAACTTGCCACTAGTATGATAGATGGTACTAGGTGCCTTTTGAAAGTTCTTGGATATTAATTTATGGGTCAATACAACGGTATTGGCTAGCCAGCTATCTCAATTCGTCGTCTCAAGTCACTACTACTCGATGGTTACTTCGGTTTAAATCAGCTTATGGAAAATATTATATTGACTCGACAATCTACGTTTATCTACTATTTTAAGGTATCATAATACAATTTGTTTACCATGGTTCTGGTCTGAAACAACGAACAATAATATAGAAACTATTTTACTAACGAAACGACGTTATATTATTATTATTGTTATGTCCGGAAAATGGTAATAATAAAATTTGTTTAAATATTATAACAATTTGGTCATATTTTGAGGTGAATAATTTGTTTGAAGAAAAACATAATATTATGTATTTTGTACACCGTGAAGGAGCGACGGAGCGGAATGAATATATATTATAATAACATGCTGTATTATATTATGTAATGAAGTAATGACTAATTATAAATGTAAGTAATGTAAGTAACGATATTGGAGAAAACAAGTAAATCGGTCAGCTGCAGCGTGAGAAAGAATAATAATATGATAGAAAAAAAAAACATGATCAAAAAACGAAGAAACAAAAAAAAATCGAAAAAGATAAAAGTAACGACGACGACGATTACTCGACGGCAATCGTCTTACGCTAATATCGTTTAGAATAACAAGTTTTCGTTGACTTCCGGTCGTCCGTTTGGAGTTCCGGTCTACTTCCGCCGTGGTCCAATTATTGTTTATTTATTTGAGTAAATATTATCATCAACGGGGTCGTTGAGGTTTACGTTTTGGTAGCCGACTGTTTCCTCGGTCCGCCGGTGGACAAGACGGTCTCGGCTTTGACCCCTACACCGTTCGGATTCAACGTCATCGCTACGCCCACTGAAAAAAAAACAAAAAAAATATTAAGTATATTTTGAAAATTATAAAGTAAAAATATTTCCGTTTAGCGACGGCAAAGTTGTGCCACAAACAATACAACTAAAATTGTAGCACGTGAGAATAAGTCGCCATAACGTTACACAGATATAAAGAAATCCGGGAAGTTCGTTGTAAGTATAGACAGGCGCACGGTTTTGTAAGCCTGAAGTAGTCCTAGAAGTGTAAATTACCGACTGGTATCACAATTGTGATTATGTCTTTTATAACAATATGTTGTATGGTTTAGAAAAAATTAGTTCATATAAATTCAGAATGGAACCAAATGCTTTTAATGGGGAGAAAGCACAATATAGCAGTCCATAGTTCCTTTTTCGTTTTTGTCTCTTGCTCGCACTATTTAGATATTCTTCACTTAAGCAATATTGTGGTTTGAGATACATTTTGAAACATTATGTCTTTAAATGTTAACTGGGCGATAGTGCACATTCAACGGAATAGGTTTGTTTGTGGGGATAGTGTGTGACCGTTTCAGGCCGGGTTCACTATCCGACAATTAAATAACACTATTAATGTTTGCAAGGAACACTTCAATTCAATATGAACAGCGGCGATCCTTTAAAGTGATCTTAAAGTACGGCTAGTTTCGTTGGTCGTTTCGACGATGACCAAAGATCATGTATTTTAATTGTTTCACGGTAACACCTGGTTTACATAAATCACTTTCGTTGATCAGTTTCGGGCAGATGCGCATGTTGCTTGATTTTCGACAAACGTTCAATTCATACATGTTCTGCACTTGGTGCAGTGTCGTTTGATTGATGATTCGTTCAAAGAGTGATTCGTCCAAAGCGTAAACACCATTTACACCGTTCAACAAAAATAGAATACGGTTTTGATGTTCGATGTCGAGTCGTTGGAAGCTGATGGAGTGATTCTATTTTTTACCAACAACAAAATATAAGCTGTTGAAATACATCTATTTGTAAATCCCAGCTGTTTTTTCGTGTATTGTGTGTTTCAAATAGATTTTAAAATACTATTTTGTAATAAACTCTGACGGACAGTGGTTAGTATATTATTAACCACTTTTGTGATGACCCGTTAGGAGCGATAGTTAAAGTAAATAACCACTTAAATATATTATGTTTTTTTAACGTTGGTTAGAAGTGATGATCACATAAAATAGTCAACTAAACACTCCATTGTAGAGCAATGCGGTTACTTATAATTTTGACTTCTCAACTGTACAGTTGTATTTTATATATAATTTTTAACTCAATGGTTTTGCTAATTTTATTATTTTTTTTAACTTGCCCCTCGATGGTTTTTTTTTGTTGTCATTTCTTTCCCCCAAAAGAGTTCGAAATAAATAGGTATTAAAGTCTAACCTCATCGCCGTTAAACCGTTTTAGAAAGATTAACGCTATTAAGAGGATTGTATGCCTACTTCTATTAAGAAGTTTGGTATAAACAAGTTTTCCAAAGGGGGTCAAAACTAAAGTTCACACAATATTGTGTAGCTACATTTTACTTTGTGTACATCTTATAATAATTACAGCTGCAAATGGTCATTGGTTACATATGATGTTTTATATTTATCCGCATAAATATAAACAAGAGTTTTTAATTGTTTAAATATTTTGTTGTATGAATTGGTTATTACTGTGTCAACTGATTTGTGCGACAATTATAATTATTTTATTGGTAATTATTATTATTTTTTTTATTAGACCATAAGTGCGACCATGTTGTTGGGCTTTTTTCATTGTTTTTTTTTCTACTAAAAATTAGCTACGCACATTGCATTTTACATTGCGGTCTGTGTTGGTTTTAGAGCAAAATCTTTGGTGTTTTTGCTGGTTTTATCACTGATAACGAAATAATTGAAACGCGACAAAGGCTTTGAGGAGACACGAATTCGCCGCAAGTTGTCTCCGGCAAGAGCAGTGTACACAAATCGCAAGACGGGCGACAAAAATAATAGCTTAACTATTTTGCTGGGAAACTTCAATAAACAGGACTGAGAAAATCGCGGCGACAACACACATCTTGTGCGAACATAATGGAAATAATTAATGAAAATAGCGCTTGAACGCGACCGACAAAGTCCATAGTATCTCTTATCCCCGTGTATGTACAAACAATGTGCTGCTGATTATAACGTTTTAGGCGAGTTGATGTGAAGGGTTTGAGTGTATATTTTATATATATATATATAGAGAGAGAGAAAGAGGGACAACTCGGAAAGAGACCATTGTCTCTTTAAACGTTGTCGCCAAATGAACCGTCAGCGGCACAAAGGCATCGTATCCTCTTTACCGTCGAGACCACAGAGATTTATTATCCCACGACAAGTTCTCTTTTATTCTCATCTCATCTCATATATATATTTATATGTATTGCTCTCGGTTTTCAACGATTGTCGACCGATAAGGAGAAAGGATCGATTAATAATTTTAAAAAGCGGTACGACGGTTTTAAAAAAAAAAATCCCTATATTATTGAGGTACAGGTCTTATTTGGAAAAAAATACATTAATGTCATTGAGGTTTCTTACATTGTCAAATCGATTTTCGGTATTGGATTTCGCAATTTTGAAAATAGCAAAAAAAAAACAACATAACATATTATTTTTCTTAGCATTTCTGTATATGCGTATGTATGCCAAATGGTCTATGATATAAAATCGAAAGAGGATGACATTATGGAGAAAACGTTATACCAGATTCTTCATAAAAATTATGGCCATCTTTTAGTTTCATAATTGGTGTTTTGCTCTAAAACCAACACAGACCGCAATGTAAAATGCGTAGCTAAGTTTAAGTAGAAAAAAAAACAATGAAAAAAAGCCCAATAACATTATTAATGATCGCAGTTATGGTCTGATAAAAAAAAAAAAAAAAATTACCGATAAAATAATTATAATTGTCGCACAAATCAGTTGACACAGTAATAACCAATTCATACAACAAAATATTTAAACAATTAAAAACTCTTGTTTATATTTATGCGGATAAATATAAAACATCATATGTAACCAATGACCATTTGCAGCTGTAATTATTATAAGATGTACACAAAGTAAAATGTAGCTACACAATATTGTGTGAACTTTAGTTTTGATCCCCTTTGGAAAACTTGTTTATACCGAACTTCTTAATAGAAGGAGCTATACAATCCTCGTAATAGCGTTAATCTTTCTAAAACGGTTTAACGGCGATGAGGTTGGACTTTAATACCTATTTATTTCGAACTCTTTTGGGGGGAAAGAAATGACAACAAAAAAAAACCATCGAGGGGCAAGTTAAAAGAATAATAAAATTAGCAAAACGATTGAATTAAAAAATATAAATAAAATACAACTGTACAGTTGAGAAATCAAAATTATAAGTAATCGCATTGCTCTACAATGGAGTGTTTAGTTGACTATTTTATGTGATCATCACTTCTAATCAACGTTAAAATAACATAATATATTTAAGTGGTTATTTACCTTAACTATCGCTCCTAACGGGTCATCACAAAAGTGGTTAATAATATACTAACCACTGTCCGTCAGAGTTTATTACAAAATAGTATTTTAAAATCTATTTGAAACACACAATACACGAAAAAACAGCTGGGATTTACAAATAGATGTATTTCAACAGCTTATATTTTGTTGTTGGTAAAAAATAGAATCACTCCATCAGCTTCCAACGACTCGACATCGAACATCAAAACCGTATTCTATTTCTGTTGAACGGTGTAAATGGTGTTTACGCTTTGGACGAATCACTCTTTGAACGAATCATCAATCAAACGACACTGCACCAAGTGCAGAACATGTATGAATTGAACGTTTGTCGAAAATCAAGCAACATGCGCATCTGCCCGAAACTGATCAACGAAAGTGATTTATGTAAACCAGGTGTTACCGTGAAACAATTAAAATACATGATCTTTGGTCATCGTCGAAACGATAAACGAAACTAGCCGTACTTTAAGATCACTTTAAACGATCGTCGCTGTTCATATTGAATTGAAGTGTTCCTTGCAAACATTAATAGTGTTATTTAATTGTCGGATAGTGAACCCGGCCTGAAACGGTCACACTCTATCCCCACAAACAAACCTATTCCGTTGAATGTGCACTATCGCCCAGTTAACATTTAAAGACATAATATTTCAAAATGTATCTCTCATACCACAATATTGCTTAAGTGAAGAATATCTAAATAGTGCGAGCAAGAGACAAAAACGATAAAGGAGCTAATGAGTTTTATCTGGTGCTTTCTCCACATGAAAATCATTTGTTTCCGTTGTTTGTCTTAATTCTAAAACATACTTACTCAAGGCAAAAATGTTGCCAGAGACACAACGCAATTAAGTGATTTAGAAACGATTCATTAATCGACTGAACTGAATAAATACGTTTTAAATGTAAACGGTTATTGTTATTAATACGGTATTGTTGTAATACACAACGTGGATCTTCAAAATTGTACATGGCTATACAAATACAGTAGCGGTAACTATAAATGTAATTGGACCTATTTAAATAATATGTATATATTTTTTTTATAGCTCGATTTAAACTTTAATGTATGAATACACACAAGAACAAACCCCCCCCCCTCCCTAGGTTTGGGTAACTGATATAATTGGCTGGATACATGCACAAATAAAAAAACCGCAGTAAAGTTTAACCGTTTAACTGTGTACACATGAAATATCATGAAAATAAATTATAACAATTATTATGTTTTTGGTGGGCAATAAAAAACAAACATCAGAAATGAGTTTTGAGTGTATTTTGCCGGTGAAAATAAACATTTCGCCGTTTTATTATGACGATTTAAATAATATGTATAATATTACTATTGTTCGGTGAACCTTACCGATGAATATTTTAATAATAACGGTTAGCCGTATTCTTTAAGTACACTCATAAACGTCCGAGTTTGGATTTCAATAAACATAGTTGGGACCAATCACTGTGCACGTTTAAATGTGTTTTTTTTATTTAACCATTCGAACAAAGACCGTCAATTGCCCGCGAAAAATATATATCTTATTCATAAAAAAATAATATATTTTAATTGTGTAGTTTTTAGACAGCCTTTTTTTTTTTGTGTGTGTGTGGTCATATCGATTAAACCAGTTAAATGTGTTGCATAAAGCCCCATAATTATTGTTACAATACAGTGGTGATCCATCCAGATCATGGATTAGCCTGTATGCACATATAGCTGGTTAATTATATATTATGTGCCGTGACCTAATTTTTTTTACACGGTTTCGACTTTCAAGTAAGTAAGTTTCAAGTCGTTTTACTATTTGAACGCGTTGAAAATATTTTGTAATAATTACCATGCGCAAGTAGCAACAAAAGGATAAAAGTTACAACACTTAGCAAAGACAGGGGCAATGTCGATAGCTAATTAAAACCTGTACATGCGAATTGAACTTGTCAAAGCATTACTTAGCGTTGTCGTTAATCGTTTTTTCTAACAATAAAAAAGCCCAGCGTTTTTTTTTTCTATTATAAAAAAAGCACCACGTTGCCGACTTATTCTCATATTATTTATGGTACACTTACTTGGGTGTAACACTGTGTTGTGCGCTTTGGCAAAGCCCAATCACACTTACCAGACTACACTCGGTGATTGTACACATCAAATTATAATGTAATAAATAATCACAGTTGTGCGACATATTAGACACGGATGCTTATAAAGTGTTTCTGATGAAACGTCACGTATAATATTATGTGCCATGCAATTGTTTTATTATTGTAATATAATAGTAAAGCTATTGTGATTTGCTAAACAGGAACAATTGAAACGCCCTGAAATACATTTTCAGCGGTCCAGTGCGTTATTGGAGATGGCCAAGCCAATGTGTTGCTGAGATATCTCTACATTTTGTGTTTGCAAAATTTTCCACCAAAAAAACCCATTATAAATTGATTAGTTTTTGGGATTTTTTTTTTTTTTTAATTAAATTTTTTCAAATTATTTACAAAAAGTTACCTTGCGTAACGACATGCTATAATTACAATATTACCATACTGCTGCAAATGGACCCCTTGTTTGGTGTATACATATAAATTGTACGTTGAATCGTGGAATATTATAAAAGGCAATTTCAATGTCATTAATAATAATTTACTCGGCGTCTCCCGAGAATTATCAGAGCCCTCGTTAAAATGTACAAACGAGACAGGCTTATTGTTAAGAATATCGTTTTAACGTCTCGTCCCGTTGGCATTGCGCGTAGCCAAACCCAATTAACATAATAAATATTAATATAATAAGTGAAAAAAAAACCGAAGAGATTTTAAATTAACCACTAATTATAATATGCCCGGAATCGGATGGCTTTTTAAAAAAAAAAAAACCATTTTAATTAGCCAAACGCGCAAAAAACGGATTAACCGAAAATCAAATAACGCAGAGTAGGTATGTATATGTATAATATCCATTATGGGAGTTTGTTCGGTTCGGATTCGTTTAAACGTGCCACAGATCAAAATATAAAACCACATATCGCAAAAACTTTAACAGTATATTTCAAGTCAGCGTGACCATTATATGACAAAAATAATCAACTACCTACTTGTTATCAATATTTCTTATCAGCTTACGTTAAGTTCGGGCCAGTCAAGTTCGGAAACGCCTTTGAAAATAAAGTAAGTAAACAAGCTACATATTGTTATGTAGCCGCTATAAATAATGCACTGTGCTTGAGTGACAAAGTTATAAATTGCAATAATCATACTAATAACGACAAGTACCGTACAAATTGTTGTTGATCTAGTTATAATAATATATAAACCGTGTCGGTAAATTGTATAATATAATAACAATATATTATTATGTAATAATTTATGGTGTTTCTCGGTTAATACTTGTTTTGTAGGGGATTTTTTGTTTTCATTTATATTATGTCCAGAAGATTTATTGTAAGTCTGTTAGTATCTCATGACGGGTTCGGTTTCTGTAAGCATCACACACACACACAACAAGCTTATAATTTATTAGCTGCAACACATTCGGTCGGACTGCCAAACAAGCAAACGTTTCGACACTCTTATAACAAAAATATGGTAATTAAAGCGCAACAGTTTGTGTCGATATCATATTATTATTTTGTTTTTGGCGCGTGTATTTGAGAAAAATGTTTTTTGTTGTTGTTGTGTTTATGGCGGTCGAAACGTGTGCTTAAACTTTGGCCGCCCGATTAGATGATTGATGATGCACAAAGCATTGCGACCGGCAGACCTTTGGAAAATCACACACAGCTGACGTTATCCGACAATAAAGTTTATCGTCTGTGGAAAATGTCGAATTAATCGGCAACGGATATCGCATTGGGGGGAAAATAAACGGTTTTGGTCGAAAACACAAAACCGAAACGGGATGTACTCGTGAAAATGTAACGAAAAGCTAATTTTGCGAACCATATTAATTATTAAAGTTGTTATCTAAACGAGATATCGGGTAATTCGTTAAAATTTTACCTGGATAAAATTATAGATGCCAAATGATTCATTTTATCTGGATAACAGACAAAATTATACTTGGGTACAAAAAAAAAAAAACAGTTGTAATGACAACTTGTAATAACAATTCCTAGAAAACTTAGTAAATATCAATGAATTGTAATTCTGGTAAACAAATCGAGTATACATTATACAAGTAAATACATCTGGTTAACAACTCGAGTAAACAACCGAGTATGCTAGTAAATAAATCGAGAAAAAAAAATAGTAAGTAAGTAAAGAAATTGATTTAATGTGTAAAAATATACCTAGTGAATATATGTAGAAAAACTAAGAAGAGTTACTGAGTTAAAAGAAATTAAGTATACAAGGAAATAAATATAGTTCACAAGTAAAAAACTGAGTAGCCTAGTAAGTAAATCGAGTTAATAAGTAAATTAATCTTGTAACGAGTAAATCGTTATAGTTGACAAATAGAATTAACGGGAAAATAAATTCAGTAAACTAGTAATTGAATCTAATTAATAAGTAAACTAATCTTGTAACGAGTAAATCGTTATAGTTGACAAATAGAATTAACGGGAAAACACGCTGAGTAATTTAGTAAATATATATTGTGTTAATAAGTAAATTAATCTTGTAACGAGTAAATCGTTGTAGTGGATAAATAGAGTTAACGGGAAATTGAATTGAGTAAACTAGAAGACAAATCGAGAAAAAAAATATCAAATAAGTAAATAAATTGATTTAATGAGTGAATATAATATCTAGTAAATGAGTATAGGTAAGTAGAAAAATAATAATAGTAACTGAGTTAATACAAATTGAGTGTACAAGGAAATTAATCTAGTTAAAGAGTAAATTATTAAATAATGAATAGAGTAAACGAGTAAACTAGGCAAGTAAATGAGTAAACCTTGAGTAAAATCCCAGGAATTTTTAGACTCCCATACTGAAAAAATGGTAAATCCATTGGAAAAACCGGTCTGCCGACCGCGCGCACATAATAATACATTATGGAAGCTCGGTAAAAGCTAAAACAAAAACCAAAAGCAGTCGAAAACTCGCGTTGACACATCCGAAGCTTACGACGTATAACAGTGTGGTTGGTTCTTACCGACTTTTGGTCCCATCCCGTCTTTCGGATGATTACTTTTGACTGCGTTCATCCGCCGGTTAACGGCCGGCACGCCGGTCGTGTTGACCGGCGCTCCGGCCACGTTGGGCGGCATGCCGCCCGGGCCACCGGTGCAAGGCCCGTGGCCGCCGCCCGGCTGGTTTATCTGCAGCGGAGGCCCTTGGCCCGGCAGCCTGGGCCCCCTGGGCTGTTCGACGGGCAGCACCCGGCGTCTCTTTTTCGGCAGCTTGGCCCGGGCCTGCGTGTGCGAATAGTACATGGCGAAGTTGGACACGATAACGGGAACGGGCAGCGCGATGGTCAGCACGCCGGCCAGCGCGCACAGCGCACCCACGAACATGCCCACGTACGTTTTGGGCGCCATGTCGCCGTAGCCCACGGTGGTCATGGTGACCAGCGCCCACCACAGGCCCAGCGGTATGCTGTTGAAGTCGTTGTGCGGGTTGGCCTGGATGCGCTCCGCGTAGTACACCAGGCTGGCGAATATCACGATGCCCAGCACCAGGAAGAACACGAGCAGCGTCAGCTCCTTGGCCGACGCCCGGAACGTCTGCATCAGGATCTTCAGGCCGGACGAGTGCCTGGTCAGTTTGAACAGCCGCATGATCCGGATGATCGAGAAGAACTCCAGTATGTCGGCGTTCTCCAGGTGGGCGGCGAACTTCTGCAGGATCAGGTCGATGTAGAAGCTGACGGTGGCTATGTAGTCGATGATGTTGACGGACGCCTTGACGAACTCGCACTTGTTCGGCGACGCAATGAACCGGACGAGTATCTCGAACGTGAACCACGCGTTGCACACGTACTCGATGTAGAAGAACGCCTCGTGCGCGTTCGTCTGCGTCTTGTCCAGCACCCACGCGGTCGTGTTGTGCGACGTGTTCACCGTGATGTTCTTGATGACCGGCACCCGCATGTTCGGATGGGTCTTCAGGCAGAACGACAAGATGGACACGCATATGAAGAACACGGAAACGATGCCGATGATCTGCAAAACAAACAATAACAGTCGTGATTATTACATATTTAAAATATGTAATAATATATAATATATGTCGATATATATCACCCTGTATACATATATATACAGGGTGATCAACTTATCGCGGACCACTCAATATTTCACTGGGTTTAATAAGGAAATTACATTTTATCTTTACATAGTGTTTTTATGCAACGTGATCTCAATTTCTCACAATTTTTTTTAATAGCAACTTTTGAAACATAAAATACATCAATTCGTTACATTTTCAAATTGAGAATAATGTGCTAAAAATTTGGACTGATCGATAACCAGTTTTGGGTAATTATTTTTGAAGTTATTGAAGTTTCAAGTTTAGGGCAGGTTCCAAAGGTGGAGTGTAGTATTATTTTTATCTGCGCGCATTTCCCAACCGCACTTCCCCTCCCATCGTTACTTTCAAAATCTTATTATTACTCGTGAATGATTTTTGAAATTATAATTAAATTAACCTTTTCTGTTACTTGTTATCGCCTTATCCCGTGCAGCAAATGGGGTCGAAATTGGGTTTATATTAACTAATTATTATCCATGATTGATATATTGTAAGCATGATAAATAATTCAACTGTACTTCGCGACTAAGTTTTTGATTAATATATAATAAGTATACCTACATAAGTTATGCACGTTTAAATACTTTAAATGTGTAAGGAACGGAAGCGTCAACAGAATATCGAATAAATAATTCAATTGCACATGTCAAGGGTTGTATATAGGCAATATGTTTGACATTTGTTTTAAACTTTATTTTCAGTGGAATTGATGCTTTAATCGTCGACGCGACTCTTTCGAAGTAATAATATTTAAGAAATACTAATTTTAGACTGGCAGTCAACCAAGAAGGGTTTTGAAATTTTTTGCTAAATACCTAACTTTGTGGCTAAATTTACAAAATTAATAAGCAATACAATAATCTCTCAATAAACAATAGTACGCCTCTAAATTACTAGTTCTGGCTTTACCTAAAAAAAATCTCACTAGGTTTTTGTCCAGTTCGACGGAAAATAAACGAGGGGTGTAAAACAACTTGAAAAAAGCATCGATTTTTTGGGTTTTTTTTTTTTTTAGGGTCAACTCGAGTCAATCGACGTCGGTCCACTCGCAGTCTGGACGACGTGGCTGTCTGCAAATATAATTATTATCAGTTTGCGGCCGTCCAAGAGGAAATGATAAAATGTGAGTTGACAAAAAGTTCGTTTTCCAGCACGAGCAATCAGTTTGGCGAATTCGAAAGCGCCCCGAGAGACCACGTGTGGTCGATTGGCTGCCACTCGTGGGGAGGGTTGTTTTAACACAAACAATTCGGTCGGGAAACTAATAAAAACTTAGGGCCGGAAGGAAATCCTTATTTCGTGCGGGTTACGTTGATTGGGGTTCGTGACAGACGCAGATTTGTTCACACAGTAATGTACATAGAAAATAATGATAATATAACAGCAGTACTACCCCCGGCAGGGAAATTAGTTTTGGCGTTTAAACTCCAAAAAACGATTTATTTTTGTACGCATTTATTTCACTGTATTCGATTATTGCAACCGTTTCGGTAAATAATGGCAAGTAAACGAGATTAGCGGCAAATGTAAAAACTGTTGAAACAAAGGCGACCGAGCGATTTAATGTAAATCCCAACAACACATTGGACGTATCGTTTTTCTTTTAAACCACAAAATATATATTTGATGTACAACCACAATTTAAAAAAGTCAGCACAGTTGAGCCACACCAGCCCTTAAGGGAATGCTTCGAATGATTGTTAAACTGTAACTACAACAATGAGCTTAAAATTGTATTTTAAGTATTAGGGCGGAAACGGTTAGGGTTGTCTTTGATAAGTCGTTGCAATGAACATGGAAATAAATTGTTTTCAGATACTTGTCGATTTATTTACATACAGACCCCCCTCCCCCCGTAGATAACACTGTGTTTGAAAAATGTGCAAAGTTTTGGAAAATATAGTAAAAAATGTGCCCACAACTAGGGGTAGGAAAAAAATACCTTCATAAATGAGTGTCTTACATCAGATGGACTATCCTGTATATTTATGTGACGTTAAACTGGTCCAAATACTGCAGGTTTAAATTTCTGTCGACGAGTTACACATCCACACACCAGCTGTGCACTTTGAATTCATCCGGTAGTTTTTCTAGAATAGCGAATCTCCGCTTGTTAGGCGTTGCGGTACAAAATGATATGGGTTTTATCCGTTTTACGGTTTTATTATACACACACCGCGGGTCAGTCCCGTATATTATAAGCGCTTGTGTATACCTACTCCATCAACATAGCACAGTAGTGTATGTCCATAACATAATAATATACCGCAAAAGAAAAGGCCGTAATCTATTGTGTTCTCGTCCGTTCAATCTGGACGGCGTCTGGAAATCCATTTTAGCCGAGCCGACAACAATGATCGCCGCCGGACCGGAAGGGTTTTTTCTTTTTATGAGATGGATCTTTCCGGTAAAAAAAAAAAATGCCAGAAAAAAACACATTATACACCCGTAAGACGCGTTATCCGGCCTAACCGTATTGATGGCAAGTGATTAGAGATTAGCCACCAATGTAAAAACTGTCGAAACAAAGGCGACCGAGCGATTAAATGTAAATTAGTATTAATTATGATAATAATAAGAAAATAATTTGGCAAAAACCTGGCTATGACACTTTAGACGGTTGCCTCCCCGGTCAAACCCGCCCCTCCCCCCCAAAAAAATACCCTTGTTGAGATTATGTGACATATTTTTTATACTGTAAAAGAGTTTTTATCTAAACACCACGACCATCATCAAATAATATGTAAAAATTATATGAAGTAAATTGTAATATATCACTGCGTAAGAAAGTAAATAAAAGGTTATTTTTGTCCATCTGTTTGCACATTTATCCAATTATTGAACATTTTATTTCGTTATGAACATTGTAATATTATTTTCTGAAACTGAGTTAATATCTTATTTATTATTTTGAGTATTAATTATTGGTTAATCATGCTCAATACTATTTGGTACTAATGGTATGTCCAGTTTCTAAAATATGTTTAGCATATTTATTTGATTGAGGGTTTCATTTATTTAATCTATAGAATAAAAATATAGAGAGCAGCTGTAACATCATGAGTTCCTAAATGAATAAAATTTTTTTAATAATATAAATGTTTCTCCATAAATGTCATAAATTTTATTGTTTGACTTTTAGCCTAATAACATTATCGTGTTAAAATATTATAAAAACAAACCAGGGATGTTTATTTTTTTTGTGTTTAAAGGTTGTTATAAAAGTAACATTTGTGTTTTCAGCAAAATAAAAAACGGAGCACGATTTAGCGTGGAATATCTCCTTTATTGTCGGGGTGTTATCCCTTCGAAAAAGTTGATAAAGTTTTTTAATGCATATGGGGTTGGTGTTTACCACATCCCCATAAGTTTAATAGTGAATTCTCGCACACACAGGGTGATTCGTTTAGGATAAGACACTCGGTTCCTTTTGAAATAGTGGCAGCTTTGTAGTTTTACTTTTCTTGGAGACACTTAAGTTTCCTTGTTATAATTTTACAATTCCAGACAGCATTCGATTTTATTAGTTTTTTATTTCCAGAGCTTTGTCAACTTTTATAACAATAATTGGCTTACATTTCGACTAGTCCATAACCGGCTTTGGATAATCACATTTCAAGATTAGTCTTTGATAAATATTCAAAACTGTCTCTCGACCAGTCAACGTTTACGGCAAATTATCATTATTAAAATTTTTATATTATACATTAATAACATTTATTTTTATTATTAAAAAAGAAAAACTCCAAAATCGCAACTATTTTATAGATATAAAATGATTAGAATAAGGTTTTCCTGGTTTTATATGTTTTGGAAATTTTGTTGATATGATATTTATCCGAAATAATGTTTTGAAAAATAATTACTTAAAAAAAGCAAATTTTTTCATCAAATTTGCTTAATGTACTTACTGTATAGATGGTAAATATATGTTCTGATAATAAAAAAAAAGTGCACTTACAAACTATTTAAATAATAATAATATGTTTGAAAATTACTGGAATCATATTTTATTCGAATAATTATGTTTAGGATTATTTGAATAACACATCTAGATAACACATTTTTATTCAGATAAAGTTTTGTTCGAGTCGTTTTTACTCGAACAATGTGTTATCTAGACAATAATGTGCTATCTAGATAACACATTGTTATTCAGATAACGTTTTGTTCGAGTAAAAGTTATTCGAACAATGTGTTGTCTAGACAATAATGTGCTATCCAGATAACACATTGTTATTCAGATTACATTCGTATTCAAACACCGTATACAGTGTGTGCTATAATTGTGTGGCAACCTATCCTACCTTGGCGGTATTCGACGAGTACGGTTCGTCGAACATGGACCACAGCTGGGGCTTGAACCGCTGCCACCAGGTGAGTCTACCCTGAAAGAAAGCCTCCTCGAAACCGAATTTCCGAGCCATTTCCTCGTCGCTTGGCTTTTCCGTGTCCAAATCCAGCCGGTCCAAGACGGCCAGCGTTTCTTGCGTGTCCCTGTGCTGTGAACAGAAAAAAACCCGGAGGGGCGAAAACATTTATTAAATCAAATTTTAACAATGATTTTCCAGTCGCCCAGTGATGTGACGTGTAGTAGTGTGCAGTTGTACACGTTATTGTACCCCGATAACCCGGCCCGTTTTGCCGGCAACATCTGCGTTTGAAATATTATATTTATTTCCCGCTCGTATCGTTTGTTCGGTCTAATACGCGTTGGGAAATCGTCCGAAAGCGGTTGCAAACAAATTGATCGCAACTTGATATATTGTCGTGCGTACGGTTTTGAAGGCACGGATGATTGCCGTGGTAAACTAGGGGGCTTAGCGCGGGAAATTCGCTGCAAGCGTTTCTCGTCCAACGGGTATTTATTCAATTGTTTGCCCCATGCCATTTCCCCAGCGCATATTTTATGTACATTTAAGAAGAAAAAAAAACCCCGTTTTGTCAACGTTAACGGCCCCCCCCCCCAAATTACATTAATATAGACAATTCCCCGACTTCCCCCGCCACCCCATACGAAAAATAACCGCTTCGATGCTTAAAAGCAATTGCCGTAACGAGGTTGAAATTGTAGTTTTTTAATATCGAGGTGGACACCATTGAGGAGGGGCTACACAGGGTATCCCGCACAAAGATTTGATAAACGCACGGAACCTAATGAAAAACCTTAAAAGTATTCATTAGAGCGAAAAGGTGTTTCATTTTTCAAATCTTTGCGAAACATCCACCCTGTACAGAGTACTTTGTTGTCGATATTACCAATAGGCAAATCGATAACATAATAAAACTATTTTTCAGCCACCCGTTGACTTGTGAAGCGACCATTAGCCCACGCGTAGCCAGAGTTGTGCACCATTCAAATTTAATGTTATCTGAGATAACACACTATTCGAGTAAAAATTATCCGAATAATTTTTAAACGTATTGTTTTTAGCCGTTATAGTTGGCAAGTGTTCATTTAAAGTATTTATATTTTAAATCATTAATTCGTCTAAATTGAACATATTATACTGCATGTACAATTAATATATATACCACAAGTGGTTACACACAAGGAGCCAGACGAGGATTTGTCCTTATCGTTATCTCATAACGAAATTGAAAAGTTTTTAAATGAGGTTAGGTACTATTTTTTTTTTTATTTCCTGGTTCATAATTAAAAAAAAAAAAATAAACAAAATAACATTCCAAGGAACAAAATCCAATTACAGAATATTAATTATAGAGGGAAGGTAGTACATAATGCATAATGCACAAAAACCTATTTAATGTAGGTAGTACAATAATATTGCCAAAAATTCTATTAGGATTACTGTATATTTTACGACGTTGACTTTGCAGCGTCTTGTGTGTAGCTTCCACGCGGCTCCACTTCCCCGACCGGATATCCGCGCAAAGGTGGCCGTATAAGAAACGCGTATAAACTCACCGGTACGGTACGTTAAATATGTATGGTATTTAATGTACAAAAGCGTGTTCTATCTGTTCAAGTAGGTAATTAATATTAATATAATGTTGATCGGTGGTTTGTGCGAGACGGGCGAAATGGTTCGCTTTAATTATTCCAATTAATTTCGGTTCCGGATTTCAAGCGAGTCGTGCACAGATAAACGGTAATCGAATTTCATCTGGGTCACATGTACTAAGTGAAACTTTAGATTAAATTGCATTTCTGATGTGTTATAATAATATTCTGAATGTTTTTTTTAGTTTATCAATTTTGCACATGTTCTCTTCAAATAATTATTGCAAATTGTTCTTTTTGTAGTCACTTTAATTTATGTTGTTTTAAAATAGTAGACTTTTTGGATCTTTTTCTTATTTTTTTTTTCTAGGCCTCTATCAAATCTCAAGACTTAATTGGTAAAGTAACCATTTTATTTCCCTTCCTCAATCTAAGCTACTAGGACAATACTAGGAGGCTATCGACTCAAGTGTCCACGTGAATAAAACATATCGGTGTGTTCAAAATAAGAATGGCAAGATTTAAATATACCTATACACATACCAAACATTTTTTTTTTTTTTCAAGAGACATAAAAGTTTGGTTGGGTGCGATTATCGAGTCAAATTTATTTCGATCTCGGCTTGGACTTGTTAAAACACTTTAAAGCGTCTTGTACGTTGAAGTGATTTTAATATGCACGCCTCGTGGGGTTGACAGGGAGGCCGAGGTCACTGCCTCGGGGGGGGGGCACTATCTCGTGTGACGGTTTTTGTGCGACTGACATGTTGAGCCGATTAGATTTATTATTAGAACCGTACACCGACAATGCAAAATACACTCTCGTCGGGTTTTTACCGGCATAAACGTACATACGGTGGTATACGACATGCGAACTTGGTATTTATTGAATCCCGGGGCGTCTTCGGTAAAGCGAATCCCGTCGCCGTTGTCATAAAGGACGGTGCTCGATAAATTACTGTAAACCCACGTGATCCAATAGGACAGCCTAGCATTTCGGTCGCCGATCGATGAAATCCCATTGTGGAAGGTGCCAAAAGGACGTGTCTTGTTGTAGAGGGTGTATCAAAAACAATGGTGGGGTTTCAAACGGCTGTAGGTTGTGAAGTATTGGACCTACAGCGCTCTGGTAGGGCTCGGATGAAAGAGGAAGTTGTCAAGTCCAATACTTCACGACCTACAGCCGTTTGAAAGCCCATCATTCTATTAGATACACCCTGTATTCCCGATTCGTCCGACTCTTTGATCCCCGAGCACTACTAAGGTTCACGAACCACCTTTTGACTAGACTTAAGTGAATTTCACGAAATCCGGTGCCCGGCTATAGCGCGCCAAGCGGTAAAATCTTGTCAGGGGTTACAAAAATTGAGTATAACAACAAAAAGGGCGGGCGTTGTGTGGGAATTTGCACAAAAAGATGGTCAAAGTCAGTGTGACCATATTCTACCAATGGTTACTCCCAGTCAGAAGAGGTGTTTGGTTTGCTTATGTTTTTGCGAATTACATTGCTCGAATAGGAAGTGCACCGTACGGTTTTATCTAATCTGTGATATTATAATGGCATCACGGAATTTTACATCACTAGGAGCGCGCTGGTCGCTTCAAGATGGCCGCTAGAATCGAGACAGACAAGAGCTAATTGCATGTACAGTGTAGGAAATGATTTATAAAACAATCAATAAAAAAGGTAGAATTTTGTTTGCTACTATAAAGCGCATGACCTTTTATTGCGTCTGATTACATTTGCTGAGTGCACCGACTTTTGAGTTTTGATGTCATTAGAAATGCTACAAAGCAATATATTTTTCTCCCTAATGGAACATACATATTACATTGTTAACAAAAGCCTACATCACGTGTTCGATATGTTATTACTTCTTGCTCTCTAACGGCGGGTATCGTGCCTTTTTCGCCGTTATGACCGTTGAAATGAAAAATAATAATTGTCAATATACTCTTTGCCGGCAGGACCTACTCCCCGGAGACACGTGTGTAGTGTACAGACTATAGAAGTATTGCGACGGTCTCTTATAAATCCAATCATTCTCTAAAGAAAATTGATAGGATCCATTAGATGTATTCGAAACTGTTATAAAAGTAACTAATCGAAAACCGCAAATCCACACAGCTCACCGTTACGCGAAGGGTTCTACAAGACATTTATTTTCCAATTAGCAGATACACATTCAGCCATCTCATCGTAATGCCGTTTTGACGGTGAAAAGTACATTTAAATTGAGGAATGATTTATTTTTTCCAAACGGCCTACGGCTGAACTTTTAATCAGTGTATTGTTGTTTCCCGTTTGATCGGTCCGGGTTCGGGTATATCCCTCGTGGATAGTATCCTCAATTCAATTGGAATACCCCGGGAGAAGATTTTGAATCAATAGCGCACAATGATTTCGTTGTACCTACACTACCGAAGAATACCTTGGGAATGACTTAAGACGGGTCGTCCCGCTGGGGCACAACGTCACGGTCCATTATACCGACTCGTTGTCGGTAAACAGTCTATTTTGGAATCTTGAGTATTGCAAACGCAGAAAAGCACTCTGGAGACCTTTCAAATGACAAAAAAATAATCATCGACCCGAGTGTGGCTGAGGGATATATCGAATTAAATGCGGTTAAGGTACCAACGACAAAATGTCGTTACACAAAGTGGCAAAATATTATGGGATTGGTCTGGGCGTTTTCATCGACCACCTTTGGTTACCATTATGGAAGCTAATACCTTATTTTAAAAGTGCATATTGATGATGTGTTAAAACAAATTGATTTGATGGCAAAAATTATGATAATAAAATAATTCTATGTACAATAACATAAAAAAAAAAATGTTTTTAAAATGACAAAAAAATGAGTGTCTTCAAGTGAAATTGATCACCTGGTGTATGAACGTTTAAATATGGTTTAAAATTATCCAGATTTTTCTAGCTGTCTCGGACCGAGTAAATAAATCGAACAAACGAGTAAAAAAAAAATTTCAATAAAAGCATTTAATTAAAAAAAATAAATAACGCGTGAAATACAGTTTTAATGCGACAGATATGGGCCTGAAAAATAAACATATAGAGTAAACAAATCGAGTAAATAATTAATATAATATAAATATAAATAAACAATAATAATATATATATATATATATATATAGAAAATTTAATAATAAAGCGTGAAGTCGATAAAAGCATAAAAATGTTTTAAAAAGACCTAGTTATTTTCTCCACTCAACGGAAAGACATTAAATCGTTATTATCTTATCACTTATGTTTTGCCTCTTATCTCTAATCTCTATTTTCTTATCTCTTATCACTTATCACTATTTCCTTATCTCTAACTGAAAATGAAAGTGTAATGCAAAACGGTGACATGAAATTCCTTGTAGCCCAAGGATAACATATTATCCATGTGAATAAAGTACAGAACAATATTTTAATGGGAAAGATTTAGGTAGACCTTACTGAAAAGTGTTTACTCAAATTTCGAACTCTCCCCCAGAATGTATGTGAGTTAAAATTAAATTTTTGGGTTCACA